CTGTTCATTGTCCAACTTCACATGTTCTTGCTATAGAAATTCCTTACTTTTCGTATAATTATTTTAATTCTTTGTTTAAAACCTTTTCGAGTTTCCATAGATTGCAAAGAGTAATTGCGTATTGTAAGCGTTTTACATATAACTTACGTAATAGAATTAAAATTACAGATTATCTATCCGTGTCTGAATTACAAGAAAGTCATAATTTTATTTTTAAGGCTATACAGGCTGAGTGTTTTAAGAATGAATTATCTAATTTAAGAAAAAAACGAAGATATTTTTAATAGTAGTTCCATAAGAAGACTATGCCCTTTTATTGATGATAAGGGACTATTACGGGTAGGTGGACGATTAATTAAGGCAGATATACCATACAACCAAAAGCATCCTCTTATTTTGCCGAATAATAATCATGTCACCAAACTCATAATCCGTAAACTACATTGGCATTTATTTCATTCTGGTATACAAACTACTCTTGCTAACTTACGTTTGAATTACTGGCCCATAAAGGGTAGAAATCATGTAAAATCTGTTATATATTCATGTATTATTTGCTTAAGATATAGGGGTCGTACTTGTGAACAAAAGATGGCTAATTTACCATTTGCTCGCGTTACTCAACAAAGACCATTTTTACATGTAGGTATTGATTTTACAGGTCACATAATGATAAAACTAAATCGTAAAAGGTGTAGTACTTTTGTTAAGGGTTATATTTGTTTATTCATATGTTTATCAACACGTGCAATCCACTTAGAGTTGGTTTCTGATTTATCTACAGAAGCTTTTATATTAGCATTGAAACGTATGATCTCGCGACGTGGTATTTGCAACACAATTTATTCAGATAATGCGACTAATTTTAAGGGTGCTAACAATGAACTCAATCGTCAGGACCACTAAATGTTTGTATTTGCCGGTTCTTTTATATATTATACATTATTATGTATGAAATCAAAGACTGTTGTCTGTTGACTTATGTGAATATTTTTCAATTGTTTTTTATAATGTTTTTAAATATTTATGTACAAAAAAGGTTTTAAACAACCATTTTTTTCGAAATTTAGAGAACTTTTTGCAAAGGAACATAATTCAATTCCGATGGAGCAGTCCAAAGAGCCTTCAAATATTTTATTGATTTACGTCCGAATGTTTTTTTTAGTAAAGGGATCAATGAACTACCTGTGAGACGGCAAGAGTGCATAAATAGTTATGTATATACTTTGATTAAATGAATATATTATATTTTGGAAAAACTGACTTTAGGTTACGCCCATACAAAACGCCAATTTAATATGTTAGGACCTAGTAGTTTTTATAATAAACTATGGACCAGTCCCAGCTGAGCGCGGATACATTACAAATCTTTGACTTTCTCTGCTTGTTTTATGCCATAACAAGCATTTATTTGCGATATTGAGATAAACAATCCTCTTGCATCACTCTGTCTACAGCGGGAAGATGCATTATAATCCGTTGCGTAATTTAAAAGATACAGACATACGAGCGAACAGACAGCTACAGCGACTAAATTTTATATAAAGATAAATATAGTATTGCCCGCGGTTTCACTCGCGTTAAATTTCAATAAAAAAACATAGCCTATGTGTTATTCTGATGCATAAGCTATATTACTGTAAACTTTAATGAAAATCCGTTCAGTAGTGTTTGTGTGAAAGAGTAACAAACATCCATACTGACAAACTTTGGCGTTTATAATATTATTATTAATATTAGGATTTAAACATCTACAGAATTCTAATCTACACTGCCTGCTGCTGTACCAAATTTAACTCCATATTTTAATGTTTGCCAAAATACTTACTTTTTATAATGAAAAGCGACCTGTCCCGTCTGAGCGTGAATGCATTACAAATCTTTGAATTTCTCTGCATGTTGTATGTCATAACACGCATCTATTATACATATAAACCTTCCTCTTGAATCAATCTGTCTATTGCTGGGAACTGAATTAAAAGGTATAAGCGAACAGATAGCTGCGGCGACTTTGTTTTATACTATATCGAGATAAATCAAGAATAAATATTATTATTATATATATGTTTTATATATCTTATTGTTATTCTTCTCTCTATCGTCTCACTCTCTCAGCTTATTATATATATCCGTATATATTATATATATATATATCTCCCTTTGATGGTGTAATAGACTTATCATTGCGGGTAATAATTCCTTTTCTTTTTTTTTAAATATTATTATATTAATAATAAATATTTATTTTGTTCTCCCATCCCATATGTGGTATATGTATGTATAGTATATAGTGTGTGTGTTTGTGTTTATTTATTTATACTTATTGTATGTATTATATGTTTATCTATATGTGAATTTGAAATATGTTGTATATTGTGCGCCTTCTACATTTTCTATGTAAATAGTATCTGTCAAAACTAGGTTGTCTGTAAGAAATTGCTATTAGCTATAGGACCGCCTTTTGTATAACTTTTTTATTAATTTTTTATTGTTCTTTGTTTGTCTGTGCGCAATAAAAAATTATTGTTATTAATAATAATAATCGCAGGAAAATTCACACAGCGCCATCTAGACACAAGTTAAGCTAGTTACAGCTTGTATTATGGGTACTAGATAACTGATACAAATACATAGATATATATATTTTTTATACAAACATATTATACGTTGCAAACAGCCAGACCGACACAGAAAATAATACTCATGAATACAAATGTTTGTGCCGTACGAGAAATCGAACCCGCGCCCATCGGAGGTAAGTGTGTGTAAACCGCTAGACCACCGAGGCCGTCAAATTTGTATTAAATAAATATAATATTTGTAATTTTATTATTTTTGTTTAATTGCAAAAATACATAGAAAGTCAAAACTTTATCAAAGTATTATCTTCAAATTATAAATTAATCTGTGATTGATGATCACAATAAATGATAAATATCACATGCAGACGGGTGCTAGCAGGTTGATAGTGTTGTAAAAAAAATAGTATGTAATCGACACAGCGATGTATAGAGTACTGCGTAAAATTAGGAATATAGTAAAAATATTATATTGCAATGTTTTTAAAAGTACTCGCATAATATTACGGTGGATGGATTTTATATTATTAAGATGTTTTATAAATTTTGCGAAACTGTTCGGATTACAAACGCTCATTTACTATGACATTTTTTTACTATTTAGACTATTTGCTTATGACAAATTGCAATAGCATATGCAATGCATATATATATGGGATCACCCTATTCTCCCAAATTTGAATTTAAGTGAATTTGTATTATTATAAACATGTACAACCATATTAAAAAAAAATACGAGCTGAGTTTATTGTCAGGTCTTCTCATCTTGAAGTCACTACGAACTGACGGTAGATTTGACATATCGTAAAAGTCTATAATAGACCTACATGAATAAAGATATTTTTAATTTGAATATTAAATCCTTGGTTGAGATAAGATATCTTGCAGAATAGAATTTAATTAACATTCTTTTCGGAAAGTACATGTTTCACTATATTTTTTTAATCATCTGCCTCCTTAACTTTTTAGCTATGTTTGTCACAGTCTAATCAATCCAATATTATCTGTAACATCTGTATACGGTGACACAACGCTTGCGTCGACTTCATCTTGCAGTTAGAACAAAACAATATGCTTGCAACATGTGACTTCATCTGCACCTACCATTTTAATCTTAATTATTACAATACTATGTAATAATTAAGACAACAAAGTCGCTGTCGCTGTCTGTCCTTATGTATGCTTAAATCTTTATAACTACGCAACGGATTTTGAAGCGGTTTTTAATAGATAGAGTGATTCAAGAGGAAGGTAATATATATAATCATGTATACCCGTGCAAAGACGGGCCGAGTAGCTAGTAATATTATAAATTGGAAAGTTTGTGAGTATGGATGAATGTTTGTTACTCTTTCACGCAAAAACTACTGAACTGATTTTGATAAAACTTTACAGTAATATAGCTTATAAATGAGAATAACACAGGCTATAATTTAAAAAGATGTAATGTAAATTGAGTAATTGTGTTGCAAACGAAGTTACGCGGGCCAGCTAGTCGTAAATAAATAATAATAAATATCCCTGGACACTTAAAACAGCGCCATCTAGTCCCACGATAAGCATGGCTTGTGTTATAGTACTAGACAACTGATAAAAATACTTAGATTTTTTATTTTCTGCTAATTGATACATCATATACATTGAAAAAACAGACCGATACAAACTATTATAATCATGAATACAAATGGTTGCACCGTGCGAGGAATTGGCCATCGCAAGTGAAGGAGTGTGCTTAACCGCGGTTGAGGTTGCTTGAGGTCGTCAAATAAATACAATCTTATTTTAGTCACTTATACCTTGTTGAAGTATAAACAGACAAATCAAGCTATTAATGCAGTTGTAATATCCTCATTTTAATATAGTAATCAGTGTTCCGTCTAATCGCTGCATTTACTAATGTTAAATTATATTTGCTACAAATTCCTTAAACAATTAAATACTTGTAATGCAGTATTTTAAACAATTATCATTTTATTAATTATAATAACTCACAAGTTTTATTCCTCTGTTTGGTTTTTTATAACATCATAATAAATCAATACAATTTCATGCAAAATTGTATGAAGACAAAGGGAGAAAAGTATTGTATATCTTAAATATACAATTTTCGTGACACAATGTTACTTACTCCTCCGAAATAGCTTGACCTATTTTTATGAAATTTTATATGTATTTTCAGTAGGTCTGAGAATGGGCTACTATCTATTTTACATACTCCTAAGTTATTTAGAGTTGTCCACCCCTGACAATTTTATTTTTATTTTTTAGATTAATATTTATTTTTTATAAAGTGGCATTAAGAAATACAAACAAACTTATTTCTTTATTTTTCTCTCTTTACTCCTATTTTTTACAAAAACAACGTTTGCTTCGTCAGCTAATGTTTAGTAAATGAGAAATTTATATGTCGTTATTTTCTAGGTGTATTTGTTCCCGACATTATGCGGAGTGGAGGGCGTCGTGGAACGAGGACTCCATGTACAGGAAAATTATTGAAAAGCAGCCGGCCGTACAGGTAACTGACAATTTTAATTTATTTATTCAACATGCTAAAGACCACATGCCTACCGGTGGGTCACTTCGCAACGAAAGTAAATTTACACGCTGGAACCGGGTGATCACCCGTTGGGAATTTAATTGAAATAAATCTAAGAGTTAAATAATGTCTACCCCAAATTATAATATACTATATGTTGTAGTAATAAGAAGAAAAGACTAGGTAAACGGAGAAAATATATTAATATATCCTAATTGTATATATTATATATATATATTAATATATAATATAGACAATTAGGAATAGAAAGAAGAAATTGAAGTATCAAAAACAAGAATGTAATATAAAAGAACTTTAAATTCAAATACAAATTTAGAATATAAAATACATATCTGATTAGCCAGTTACAAGACTATATAATATTTAAAAAATAATATACGTAATTAACAATAAAAAAACAGCCGGTGCCTATGTAAGAAATAAGATTTCATTACGGTCTTTAACGTGTTAAATAACTTTATTGCGTGCTCAGGCACTGCGCTAACGGCATACACTGTAGGGCACCAGTGGATGATAATGAGTATGAGATCAGTTCAGTTAGCCCATAGTGGCGAATTCACCATGAATTTAACATAATGATTTCCAGGGGGAACCGCGTGGAGATCAATCTGATGGTACTTTGCTAGCAATGGGGTTATTAATCCACATTACTAACAACCCCTTTCCCCCAATAAGTAGTCTATTCTGACTACTCGACGGCCTCGATGGTCTAGCGGTTTAGCATACAGCTTTACTTCCGATGATCGCGGGTTCCATTCCAAACACGCAGGTATTCGGCGGTAGATTCAAAACACGCAGGCTGTGTTGTAGGTTCGTTGGTATTACACCTACGCTGGAGATCATCAGAGCGACATGCACTGCGCAAATTCCAAATTCTGATCACATCTCCCATGAACTCTGTGTATTTGTTTATTTAAACTACTATTACCATTCTCTACCAGCCAACCTTAGGTAGTGCAGAGTTACTCGATGGCGGAATTTATCAATTTTATCTGAATGGTTTTGTTGTAGTTTTATTTTATTTGTGTATAGGTAAAATGAAAAAGACTAGGTATACGGAGAAAATATTTGTTTATTTGAGCGACCAACAAGACATACACGACAAGACATACAAGAGGTTACAATTATTATCCCTTGCAATAAGTTGAGGTATACAGTGTTCACTTCATTACTGGTTGCCACAGTATGCGTAAATGTTTACAGAAGTTTATATATGTATACATATTTATCTTTTTATTTTACTTTATTTATATATATATAGAAAGACTATTGACAACAGAATAAAATAACTATAAATACGAATTTAGAATTTACAGCCAGTTTCAGGAGGTTTTATGTAATTATTAATATTATTATTATTATTCCGTAACAGCTGGTGATGGAGGCAGTCCCTACTGTGGTGGCAGGTCATAGTCAAGAGGTGGAATGTTTGGTGACAGACGGCGATAAAATAGTCAGCTCTTGCTTGCAAGGAAACATAAAGGTGTGGGACTCACAGAATGGCGAACTTCTTGCAAACATCGACCGCCACGCGTAAGTAACATTATTATAACCTATTTTAAAAACTATTGTTTTTATTGAATTTAGAATAGCCTAGAAAATTAATATCTTTATTGTAAGTTGGAATCATTATTAAATTTTTAAAGTTATCACAAGGCATTTCGTAAGGCAAATAAAATATATTTAAAATTTTGCCGTAAATTGTTACGTCTGTTCAAAGTTACATCGCCTATTCGATCCCGACTTGTCAGGAAGGCAGGCTCTGAGCAGCCACACTTTAGTTTTGAAAATATTTATCGTTAGATACAAGATAATGTAATTGATCAAGTATCAAAAACACTTTCTGAAGCTAATATAAAACTATGCAATATTTCAGATTTTTCAAATTACAAAAGGATTTATACGGTAAAGTCTATGCGAAGAAAAGTAACAACGCTCACAAATCCTTGGAAGGTAAGTTCACAATGTGATGTTAATAAAGATTTAATACAAATTCAAAATATCTTTATTCATGTAGGTCCATTACAGACGCTTATGACAAATCTGATTAATTATATAATTACGGTGTACATATGTGACAGTGTAATAATTACACTATTACTTAGAGTGGTGTTTCCCAATTAGTGGTCGCGTACCCCCAGGGGTACATATGGTTGTAAGAATGCACATCAAATTATTTAGAAAAAAAGGTGAATACTGTAATTTTAACTTAAAGAATCCAAATAATCTCATTCTCCCATACAATACTACAAACTTGTATAGCAGAAATGCCTATTGTATGTCAATAAAAATTTACAATAAGTTGCGGGATGATATAAAAATACTACCGATACATAGTTTCTGGTGAAAAGTGTGATACATAAATTATAATTTTTAAAATCCTGTAAACCACTTTTCAGGCAAAATAAAGATATTTGTATTTGTATTTGTATTATAAGGGGTACGTGCGGCTATCAGTAAAACAAACATACACACACACTCACAAACTATCACATATATAGTATTAGTGTGATTGCTACAATAAGGGGTACCCAAGGTTTGAGGTCTTTTTTGAAGTGGTACGCAGCTTAGAGTTGGGAACCACTGACTTAGAGGATATCATAACGTAATAGATAATACATCTAGGAACAAATCTTAAGTCTAATCTTAATCATATTATTTTACTCATAAATGTAACATTTCTCGTTACAACATGTCAATAGTGATTACAAATGTTTGTATGATAATGACATGTCAAAGACAAAAACGAAAATAAACAAAATAAATTAAATTGTGGCTGGCCATGCTTCGTCGTGATATACCATGTGAAAGTTTTTAACTGTTTCATACATAAAATCAGTAAAGTACTGCTACACTTGATGCAAAGCAGAAACTATCATGTTGAGACATGAAATCCATGAATATAGTAGAATATTTGTTTATTTTATCTACTCTTGGGATCAACTATGATTCCCATTATGCATTATTGCATTGAAAAATGTAACTGAACTTGAAAGAAATCTACATAATCATCCTCCAAAATTTGCAATGATCAATCGTGAAAATTGTCATTGGAAACTATTGCTATTTTAATGTTACTTAATTTCACGTAGAAATGTTAATAATAAATATGATTGGATTATATATATTTTTTAACTATTACCATTTCTTATATTAATCTCTACACAAATATTTAATCTTATTTTTTCTAAATAGTTATTGTTCTTTGTTACAGTAAGTCCTAGCTCTCGAGTCACACCGAAAGTCAGTCAAAACCAAGTAAGTAAATTAAACAATTACACATTAATAATATTGCTGGACAATACACACAGCGCTATCTAGCGGCCGCACTAATAAATACCTTATTTTATTACAATAGAAATAGATGTATCATACAATAAAAACCTGTAGCCAATAGTTTATAAAAGTTGTCTGCTTATACAGTGTGCGCTGTAGCATGGTGCGGGTGATAGGTACTAATTTTGCATTTAAGTTAATACAGTTATTAATGATTTAATATATTACGAATGTGTCTCAAATACTAAGTCATAATTTCTAAACCGCAGCCAATTTTAAGAGTGAAACGAAATGTTAATGATACTGACACCGGCGCCATTCTATAGCGGTCATGGTATAAGTATTTCAAACTCGCCTATTTCAACCCCCAAGCCTCTATCTTTGTAAGCTGTATTTTTATTATAATATCGTTATCATTACATAGTATAAAATAAAGTCGCTGTCGCTGTCTGTCCCTATGTATGCTTAAATCTTTAAAACTACGCAACGGATTTTGAAGCGATTTATTTTACAGATAGAGTGATTCTAGAGAATGATTTATGTTTATGTTTAAGAAGTCTTATCTCTACATATAAATAAAATTGGAATGTCTGTTTGTAATATTGAAATAACCGTTTTTACTACATGCATATGAATATAAATATGGTACATACACCAAATCAACATTTTTACAATTTATGTCTGACTCTTTATTCCGACTAATCTCTGAAAGGGTTGGACCTATTTTGATGGGACTATTTTATAGATGGCAGGTAGCTGATGTAATAAGGAGTAATTTAGGCTACTTTTATTTTTAAAAAAATAATTTATTTTATAATAATAAAGCTAAATTCCACGCGCATTAAGTCGCGAAAACTAATTAATAAATTACTTGAATATTTACAGCAGGCGCAGAAACTACAGAAGGAATTAAGCAATCACCTCAGTGGACTGCGGTTCCGTGCTTCCACTCGAGATTCAGCCTCGCATCTCCCTCCCGCAGAGACTACCAGATACGTGTTTGCTAAAAATTACAGGTATTTTATCATCATCACTTAATTATCTTTAAGAGTCATCAATAAAACATCTATTCAAAAGAGCAACACACAAATTTCTTGCTCATTTTTCATGTGATGAATCTGTTTTCAGAATGAGTGGTAGAATCAAAACATGATTATTCAAAACTGCTTGTAATGAGTATATTTGAATAAAGATTATATTTCTATTTCAAAGTTAATAATAGTAATAATATATAAACTCTCTCAGGTGCTTTATTGGGCACAGTGACAGAAGTGTATAAAACAAATGTACCAAAATAATTCTCATATTTAAAACATTAATAAAAGAGTATCTAGAACAGACAGTGATTGTCATTTGTGTTCGGAACGACTCATCACAACAAGGATGAGCAAGAATCTTGTGTGTTGGTCTTTTGAATAAATGTTATTTTAAATAAATAATTACACAATAACAAGTTAAAGACATACGGTAATCAACACAGAAACCACTAGACACTCATTCCTACTGCAATTAGATAATATTGTCAGCATTACGAATATTTTACTAAGTTTTTTCTACAAAAACATTATTGTCATGTAAAAACTCTTCCATTCCAGCACTTTTACAAACATTTGAATCTTGAATATTTTGTCAGACAGATTTAGAATAGACTCTAACACTTTGTTGTAAAACCTTACGCAATTACCATAAAATGAGTTACTAACTTAACTTTAACTGAAGTAACTAATACTGATTATTTTCGTATCACAAGAACCATTGTTATGAATATTAATAATTGAATTATTCTGTTACAGAGACCTCTACTGCAATGAACAAAGTGAGGATCTGTGCAACAATTATGAAACGAAAGAGAATGTGGACACGAGCAATTTAAATACAACAAACCAAAACTGTGCACAGTGTGAGAAGGACACAGATAAAAATATTTTTTCAATAAATTCAAATAACTCGTCTGCAAGTAGTTTAAAGAATAAAAATAAATTAAATTATGATAGTGATAAAGTGAGAACTGAAGTGAGTGAAGTGGACGCAGTGACTAATCCATGCTGGAGGGGAAATGCGATGCAAGAATCTCCGGTTTGGTGCATGGACTTTTGCAATGATCTCATCATATTGGGCTGTGCTGACGGCCGTGTTGAATTTTGGGAAGCCACCTCTAGGAAGATTATGGTTAGTTTGACTAAATTACTTTCTCTTCTCACCTCGTATATGAATGTGTGAGTTAGAATATTTGAGTTATGGTTACTTTGACTAATTTCTTTTTTATACTTCTCAACTAAGGATACTAGTATATGAATTTGTGAGTCAGAATATTTGCTATTTGACTAATTTCTTTTTTATATATTAAATTTAATTAAATCCTTTATTTAATTACATTAATACATACAATAAAAAAAAAACAGATAAAAAAAAATTAATAATAAACTTTTTTATTCTACTCAAGTAGTATATGAATGTGTGAGTTAGAATATTTGAGTTATATTATGATTAGGATTGGAGTTATGGTTGACCATAGAGAGTACCGAGTTCCTTCCTATAAGCCAGTTTAAGATACGTAAACTGGCTCATTGCAAGGTCTCTCTCTCTGTGGACAATAAACTCCAAATATGTAAGTCCATCCTAAACCATTCTGGACCTATGGTATCCCACTATGGGTCTCAGTCAGCAATACAAACATCATGTGTCTACAAAGAGTACAAAATAGTATCCTGTATCTATAGCAAATTTATCATGGTTCTCGAAAAATGAAGAGATTCATAATTACCTGAATGTGCCAACAATTCATGAAGAAATAAAGTGGTACAAAAAAAAATATATATGCCGACTCTCTAACCATCCTAATCCATTGGCAGCACAGCTCTTGGAGCCTTCTCACACAGTCACACAGACTAAAGAGGAGGAATATTCTGTAGTAAAGTGGTGCTGACCTCTTCATCTACAGATCAATCAGTACTCAACACATCTGTTTATAGTCTTGTGACGGATCACCGATTAAAATAGAAAAAAAAAGATTAATTTGACTGAATTCCTTTCTCTTCTGGTTATATATTATAAAGCTGTTCCCGCGACTTTGTCCGCGTGAAATAAACTTTACTTTTCTAAAATAAAAGTAGCCTATGTTACTCCTTATTACATCAGCTACCTGCCAAAAAGAGTCCCGTTAAAATCTATCCAGCCATTTCAGAGATCGGCAGAACAAACAAACAGACAAAAATCGTAAAAAGTGATTTTTGGTGTATATTCCGTATTTATATTCATTATTCCGTATTCATATTAGTTTAGGTAACTAGTATATGAATGTGTGAGTTAGAAAATTCGAGTTATATTATGGTTAGTATCACTGATTTCTTTTCTATTCTACTCAACTAAGGATAATAGTATATGAATGTGTGAGTTAGAATATTTGGGTTAGATTATGGTTTGTTTGACTCATTTCCTTTTTCTTCTACTCAACTAGAATATGAACGTGTGAGTTAAATTCTGGTTAGTTTCACTGATTTCTTTTGTCTTCTACTCAAGTAGTGTAATGAATATTTTACAAATTACGTATTTAATCCAGAGGCAACATATATAAACTGAAGGACTTTCATGCTACTCATATGTTAAAATGTTAGCGGTTAAATGCAAACTCCTGCAGAGAAAAATGCAAGGGTCGTGAGGTTTCTCAAAATTTCATTCAGAGATTTTATTTTAATTTTAAATAATATTGTAGCGATGAGCGATAGACTGTGGCGGATGACACGATACAGTTTTGAGATGAACTCAAAGAGACCGTTCAGATAGAAAAGGAGGTGTTCAGATATGTCTTTATTACCATAAATGGCGAAGCGACGACGATACCTCCACATCACAAGAATATTGTACAAACTACATGATGAATTTATATTATTTTATTTTATTCCGCTACAATTAGCATGTGTGAGATAGAAAGAAAGAAAAATATATTTATTTGGCGCATACAGAACATTCATATTAATAAAAATTTTATTTGATTATATATACATATATATATTTTTGCAACCAAATTGGTTTCCACTCAGCTTTGTGTTCAGGCTGCAATGCCCAAACGCTAGTTTTCAGTGGAACCTTTTATTAATTAATTTAAAATATATAAAGATCACAACTATTCAGTTCTGAAAGTTGACTACCGTTATCACCTTCTCTAATGGTGATCGATTCAGTGTTATTGAATCCACACCCATATTGCGATACATGTTTCGCCACTGAACGAAGTAAACAAATTAATATAAATCAATTAAGTAATGAAATGCACTTCCCCAAAATAACACCTAATTCGATTAAATATATTTCACAAACTCGATAAGAATAATTAACTTGACATTTAGCGATGCGTGGAAAACGGGAATCGAATTCTCGTTATTATCTACATTGCGTAGTAGAATAATAGATCTTATGCAAACGAGAAATAGAAATGAGAATAGCAAATGAAAAAATCAATCCACTCAATCAACGATACAAACTTTTGTATCTTTGATTGAGTTTACCAAATTTACCAAACGTAGTTACAGTTATTCTTCTTCTAAACTATTACATTTTTGTGAAATGCGCATCATGCAAATAATTTACTAGTTGTACCTACACTAGGCCGAGCCTGTATCATAGATACAAGTTTCTTCCAGCGACAAATAAGTAAAAATTAAAAAGTTGCAATTGCGTGGGAAGATTTACATTTCAACTTAGTGCAAAATAAGAATGAATCATTAGCATCAATCCAAAAGTTTCTCCTTATTTTGCCAAGCAGAAGAGGAAACGCCACTACACATCCTATGTGATTGTAGCCCACTCATGCATAAACGAATCTCCTTTGGAAAGTATACACTATATCCTGAGGAGATAAAAACCATCGCTCCTGAGAATATCCTTCGATTCTTGTCCCTCAGTGTTCTAGGTAGTAGAACTTTGAAATGAGGGCGAGCACAATAGATCTATACAGTTATTTTCAAACTTTTGTGTTTAATATACATTCTTTACACCGGGTCTTAACAAGAGTAATTTTATGGCATATAAAGGTAAGGTAACCTCTCTCGACGTTCCGAGTAGGTTGCACTAGGCGTAGTCAAGAGCTGACTGGAGTAATATACAATACAACATTGACATAGCTGTTACTTTACACAATTATTCGTGTTAAGACCCGATTAATAATATAAATAAGATCTATACAGGTCTTAGCACCTGAAAATGGCCCAAACCCCCCAATAAAAAAGCAAGTTACTAGTGACTCAGTGGGGCCACAAAAACTGAATCTAAAGAAATATAATAATGTTAGCAACGAACTAAATTGCAGTGCGTGTGGTGGAGCCCGGAATGTCGTTCAGGCGAGCGCAACGCAGCTGGCGTGACTCACGTGCGGGCGTTGGCTGGAGCGAGACGGGTCTGTGTTGCCAACCTTGCGGGCTACGTCACCCTACTACAGACCAACGCGTACAACGCGGCTTCGGGCGCACAAGTCGACTGGCAGTTCAGCACCGCTCACAGGAGAAGTAATTCACACCTTGATGTCTCTGTTACCTACATGAATTAGATTATTACAAACGTATCTATCGTCTTTGGAAAGTTTACACTCTATCCTGAGGAGATGAAAACCATAGTTAAGAATATCCTTCAATTCTTGTCCCTGACGGGTGGGTAGCGTATTCTGAAATAGGACGAGCACAATATATCTATGTGCAGATTGTACTCGACATTTTGTGGGACAAGAATTGAAGGATATTCTTAGCTATGGTTATTATCTCCTCAGAATTGCTACAGGTCTAAGCACCTATTAGGACCTAGTAATAACCTAGTAGACAGTAGCCCAAATTCCGTCAAAACATCCATATTTAGAAACTTTCGCGTTTATAATAATATTAAGATTCTGTCATTGCACTCTGCTGTAATAAAACGTCTACAAGCATCTCTCTTTCTTATCATTTACTTATATGGACGTAGAGAGTCTACACATACCCCCGAAAAATCATAATATAGTATACAATATACCGCATGTAACTCCACCACATGTACCCCTCTGACTAGACCCGGTTAGGGTAGTGAAATGATATCACGTTGTGGACTGTATGATTATGTACAAACACCTCACTTGTATCGTTTGCTTTAAAAGTTTCTAAATACTTTCTTTATCAAATTTCAATTATTCAATGAGAATCTTATTGCATGAAATTTATTTTAGTCTGCAACCTTTATAAGCAATCACACTCAAATATTAATATTAATGTTCACCATAACCTTTTTAATAAACCTCATCATCATCTATGATAAGATGACTTACCATCACATTCCAATTCTATTCATAATATTCACCATTTAAGTTCAGGAACCAATAATAGAAAAAAAACATTCATGGATATTAATAAAGTTGACATCTCATAAAAGCTGAAGTTTCAAGCTTTGAAATGAAATATCATTTTTATTAAATGCGAGGAATCGAAGCCTCGACCATCGGAAGTAAGGCGGTGTACTAAACCGCTGGACCACCGAGCTCATGCGATCGGGCTTGAGCTGATATACGTCATACAAAGTTTTTTGATGACGAACAGCTTCAAATTCACAACATTTCGTTCAATAAGGTATCGTCTCAGTCTGTAAATCACTGAGCCATAACGCTCACAAGAATAAATCATTCATATATGTTTTTGTTAATAAATTGTAAGTTCTTGCCCACTAGCTTGTATAATGAATAAACGATTCGAGACTATATATAAATGCTTAGAGAATGTATATATAAATATTTATGATAACAGCACATAAACGTACCGGATCAGCGGGCTCATTGCAATATATGCATGGCGTCGAAGAGGACATGTCACGGCCACGAATGAGCTTCTCCTATGAGGGGGAGATCCTCGCAGACAGTGAAGGCATGTAACATCAAAATTCATACGCATTTTTCATTGTTCGTATTTTCTGCATAAACAACTATTTTAGACCTTACTCTAGCAATTTATTTATCTATTTCAAAACTCATAGTCATAGTTTTATCTTGTAGTCTTGTATCATATTGTATGTTTTCACTGTGTTTGTATTTGCAGCATAAACAACTATTTTAGACCTTACTGTACGTTTTATGTTGTAGTATCATATGTACGAGGGGAGGTCAAAAAGTTTGCGGAATGAGGGGGAAGGGGGTTGAAATTAAACATGAAACTATTTTTCCTTTTCAATATACTCTCCCTTAACCCTAATACATTTTTCATATCTCTCAATTAATTTTATTATACCATTAAAAATATAGTTTTATCTTTGATGCTAAAATAGGCCGAAATTGCAAACTTGACTTCTTCATCGTCGCCAATTTTTTTTCCACGCAGCTCATTTTTCATTTTTGGGAATAAATAATAGTCGCTGGGGCTAAGTCTGGGCTGAGAAGGTGGGTGGTTTAATTTTTCAATCTTGCATTGGTGAATTGCAGCCGTCGCAACATGACACGTGTGGACGGGAGCGTTGTCGTGCAAAAGGAGCACACCTTTAGGCAGCTTTCCTCTTGTTTTTTCGTTAATAGCTTCTTTCAATCTGCACAGCAAATAAGCGTAGTACAACACAACGATCTTAATAATCGATCAGCAAAATACCTTCTGTATCCCAAAATATAGTCGCCATAATCTTTCCGGCCGACTGTAACACTTTAAATTTCTTCGGAGGAGTTGTGCCTTTTTTATGCCAATGCATCGACTCTTGCTTCAACTTAGGTTCATAGTTGTGAACCCAGGTTTCATCTCTAGTAACAATCCGGTTCATAACTTCTCCTTCTTCTCCACTCTCTCCACAAAGCTCCAAAAATTGGCGAGAACACTCGACACGCTCATTTATTAGAAGTGGCGCGAGCATTCTTGGAACCCCTCTTGCACTGACCTTAGTCATGCCAAGATGATGATGTAGAATATTTAAAATACTTGTTTCGGATACTCCAACCATTGCTGCAAGCTGCTTCTTCTTCAGCCGGGTATCTTCTAATACAAATTTTTCGTTTTACATTTGCGACGATTTCCGATGTGGTGGCCACATCAATTGGCCGTTCGGAGCGGGGGTCATCTTCAATAGACTCTCTTCCTTATTTGTAAAGACTATGCCACTTGTAAACCATGGTTTTACCAGGGGCAAAGTCAGCATAAACTGCTAACAGCTCTTGAAAAATCGTCTGAGCGGATTTTCCTTGCTTGGTGAGGAACTTAATAACGACGCAGTGTTCAATTTTCTCCATACTCGCTGACTTCTTCCCGATTCACTTGTTTGCAGATCGATAACTCAAAAGTTAATAACCCGATTTAGTTCAAACTTGGTATATATACTCTTAATGAGGTGCTTAACAAGTGACTACCGGGACGAGTGAACCAACCCCCACCAACCCCTCCATTCCGCGAACTTTTTGACGTCCCTTCCTATATATGTTTGCATTATGTTTGTATTTGTTGCATAAACAACTATTTTAGACCTTTCTCTAGCCCTCTATTTATCTATTTCTAAACTCATAGTCATAGTTTTATCTTGTACTATCATATTGTATGTTTTCACTGTGTTTGTATTTGTTGCATAAACAACTATTTTAGACCTTTCTCTAGCCCTCTATTTATCTATTTCTAAACTCATAGTCATAGTTTTATCTTGTACTATCATATTGTATGTTTTCACTGTGTTTGTATTTGTTGCATAAACAACTATTTTAGACCTTTCTCTAGCCCTCTTTTCGTCTATTTGCAAACTCATAGTCATAGTTTTATCTTGTGGTATCATATGTATGTTTGCATTATGTTTTTATTTTTCGCATAAATAGCTTGTTAGACCTTTCTCTAGCGCACTATAAGTCTTAGTTTACTCATGTCACCCTTTCTTGTAATATACATCAGGTATACATAACCATATGCTACTACGGTGACCATTTACCATCAGAGGGGCCGTATGTTTGTTTGCCACCATAGTAGTATAAAAAACGCCCATGTTGTAAATGAACGTCAGAATTCCCAATCATAAATATTTTATTTACTTTCCATAGATTTTGTTTACTTTTAAATTACACTTATAGTATTGTTGTTTCTCTTAGTGTCTAAAAAACATGTAAAATGAATTGTGGTTTCACCATTTGTTTGTGTTTCCTTGTTTTTCTATTTTAATTTTATGATTGTTAACTGATCATAATAAATATTAATGAATAAAAAGCTGCGTATATTCCAAAATACACTATGATTAGTTTAGTGAAAGCGTAGCAAATATTCTTTTGTATTTTTACTTAGAATTACTGACAATTATGTAGTATTACTTATTATGTCAGTGTATTTAATACGCAACAAAATTTACGAAATAAATAACATTATGTTCTATATTCTGTAATTGTTAATTGTAGAAATAATATGCACGCGCATCGCCCAGTGTAGGCCGCACCAACAGCCGATCACAGAGATGCATTCAGAGGGAGTACGCATCGTAACCGGAGGACAGGACCACATTCTTAAGGTCAGTCAGGCTATGAGTAAAAACAACATATGCATCATGACCAGGGCCCTCACAGGACACTGCAAATTGAACAAACATATGGCAAACATAACAAACATATGGCAAACATAACAAACATATGGCAAGCACAACAATCTGCAGATTTTGCCAAACTGAAGAGGGAATGTTACTACACTCCTATGTGGTTGTAGCCCACCCATGCATAAACGTAATAATATCTCCTTTGGAAAGTTTACACTCTATCCTAAGGAGATAAAACCATCGCTCCTGAGAATATACTTCAATTCTTGACCCTGACGGGTATAGTTACATTAAACATATTGATTTTGTGGGCCTTTCAGACTAAACCATTACTTGAATGACAAACGTGCATGACAATAGTAGTGCATACACTGGATTTTTACTTAATGTTACACATAGACACCTATTTAAGTACACAATGTAAATAAACTGGCTATTACAAAAAACTTCAGTTGAGTTTCTTGCCAGTTCTAAATGAATCTGTGTATTAAACTGGACTGGAGCTAAAATAGTAATACAAGAAACATTACTTTCGTAAGCGGCTTTAATGTCCGTACATGAATAAATGATTTTTGATTTAATTGCCTGTTTTTAGAGATAATCTTTTTTTCCCCTCTTAATTCTGTCCCAGATTATGCGCAGTCGGGTCTCCTAATTTTGCGGCACCAGGACAATCTGGTCTGGGTTGTGGGGTCGGGAATTTTTTCCGCGTCGATAAGCTTGCTCATGCTGGTCCTGCAGTATCTCTTTTGCGTTCGGGTACTCTTATGGCTTCTTTGAAGACAAAATCCTTGTCAGTTTGCATTACATGGCCATACATCTGTTTTTAGCCATAATGTATTTATTAATGTATTATATACACGACACAAGTATTTTCGATTATTTATATTATTAATCGGGTGTTAATAATTTTATGGCAAATAAAGATATTTACCTCTCTCGACGTTTCGACTAGGTTGCACTACCCGTGGTGACGAGATGACTGAAGACTTAAGACCCGATTTATAATATACATAATGTATATGAAAGTTTAAAAATTACAGGTGTTTTCGAGTTCGGACCTGAGTCAGCTGTTCAGGCTGCATGGCCACTGCGGGCCAATCACCAGCTGCTTTATCGACCACGCCACCCCCACTATCGCTGGCAGCGGCTCGCAGGACGGACTCCTCTGTGTCTGGGACCTTCACACGGGTAAATTTTACATTCTCAACATTCCATTTAAAATTTATGACATTCCCTATTTTATCAATCATTTAACATCATCATCTTGTTCTTCCTTATCCTATTTATTTGGGGTCGACATAATATGTTTTCTCTTCCAGTCATCCCTGTCATCAGTCATCAGTCATCTCGTCATTAATATTTTAACAAAAACTAGTTATTTGTTAATTGTTAATGTACATTGACATACAGAGACATGTAACGCTTGCCTGACACATTTCGCATATTAGAGTGGACTATACACATTTTATTTCTGTGTATGAATTTAAGTGGAATGATGATTTAATGGATATGAATTTAAGAACTTCAAATTGTAGGTGACATCTTAAATGGATTTCCTTTAGATGTACTTTTTAAGGATCGATTGTATGTTGTAGCCATTAATGATTCTTAATATTTTAGAGCACCTAAAATATATAATTTTGAAGTATATTAAGTTTAAATATATATATATAAATATATATATATATAGAAAAAAAAGGCAATAATACTGATTATACCGTTGATACGATGTGATGACGGCTTCGGTGGCCTACCGGTGTAACATACGTCTTTACATTCAATGGTTATTATATATTTTATGAACAAAATATATATCTATTTCTATCAGTTATCTAATACACATAACACAAGCTATAGCTAGCTTAACTTGGGTCTAGATGGCACTATGTTAATTGTTCTTAGGTTATTATTATAACCATAAAGCCGATGACAAATAGAAATATATATATATATACATAAAGAGTAAAATTTTTGTTAATAATTGTGGGTTGTAAATGTACAAATATTGTTCCCAGGCGCATGCTTATACAGTATGCAGGCGCATGATGGTGCGGTGACGTCATTGGCGTACACGGCTTCGTACGTGGTGTCGGCGGGCTCCGACGAGCGGCTCTGTATATGGGATCGTTTCCAAGGACACATGCTAAACTCTATACACATCGTAAGTACAACATTATTATTTACTATAGTCTGTTTTTTAATACCGGAGAGACATTTCACATTACAGAGGTTGCCAGGTTTTTACATTTTTTAAATAGGGTTGTGGTACTATCGGAAATCAATATTAATTACCTATTTTTATAGGTAATTCAGAAATTGTGTGGATAATTAAAATAAAATATTAATTCATTGGACCATAATTTAAGAGCTATGCCACTTTCCGCTATCTTCCCATCATGTTCTATAAATGTTGATACGACACAACTCCTATTATCATAACATTAATACTACATTGAATGACAAACTTGCTATTCCTAAGTATTGTTTAGAAAAAGACAATCTTTTATGGGAATGGGTATAAAAAATTACAATATGCTATCAGAGGATATATGTACTGGAATTAACCTTAAATAAATTCACAACATAGACGTAGCACCTACACCACATCTGTTCATAGTCTCCGACTGATTGCAGGATAGGCACAGAAAAAAAAATTCACAACATCTGATAAGTCATATTGCTTCTCCTATTCTTACTAACACTACTGCTATACTCACTAATCGATCACTAGAATGCATGGCAATAGTTGTTCATTCACGGGATTTTCATTTAATGATGGACTTAGACACCTATATAAGTAAACATTGTCAATAAACTGACATAAAAAAAAATTGAAATCAATTTCGTTTCTTTACAGTTCTTCTCAATTGCATCTGTATACAGAATAGGGCGGTAGGAAAAAAATACAACAAAGTTTACGTCCATAAGCGGCTAAAACATCCTCAAACATGAATAAGTTATTTTTAATTTCAATTTAACACATTCAAGTAAATTTTCATTTGCAGGGCCTGAACTATATGAGTCGTATGCTGCCCCTTACACATACTTTGCTGGTAATGGGCGACCGTAGTGGGCTCATAGCCTACGATCTAAGCAGCGGTGATGTCATACGACGAGTATTATTAGGTGAGTATTACATTATGATCACTAACTATTTACACGAGCACTATACTTTATTTATGTACTTCAAATTCAAAATATCTTTAGTCATGTAGGTCTATTACAGACTCTTATGATATGTCAAAACTACCGTCAGTTCTGAAGAAGAAACTCAGCTCGTATACTTTTTATGGGACACAATTACCTAGATACATCAAAATAATAATTGCATTTAATAATGTCTAGTAAGACAAATTCAATATTGTCTACTAGGCACTGCTGTGTCTAAATGTGTCACCCCACCTTACATTTTCCTATTGTTATTTAGTATATAAGATCATTATTTCTATGCACATATTGTCAGTCAATTACCATCTGTAATACACATCGTCTCGACTAACAACTTTGTATTATTCACCCGCAACACTTTTCAAATAATGTACACGTTTACAATAATACAGATTCATTTTTAAATTCAAGCGGGTACAATTAGTTAATAAATAAGTATTGGGCGGTACTACGAACATTGCGTTATCATGTGACGCTCGTTGCTCTTTCATTACCACCGGAAGTCTGAGTAATCACGTCTCTGATCCTGTAATTGACTTTCTTATCTCATCCTTCAACAAACAACATTACGATTTTTGGCTGAGAGCACTGCTAGCTCAGCCTATTCCCCAAATTTGAATTTAACATATAATCTGTATTATTGTAAATATATACAAGATTATTTGAAAAGAATAAGAGTTTCTTGTCAATTCTTCTTAACTTGAAAGCCCTTAAAATGGCGGTAGATTTGACATATCATAAGAGTCTGTAAGTCTATTACAGACTCTTATGCATATCATTTCATCATCATCATACATGAATGAAAATAGTTTGATTTGATTTGGCATATGAAATTCATTTTTAAATCCTCACCTCGTCCTTGGTGTATGAGTATTTAATTGAATTAGTGCTAATTGGTAGTTTGTATTCACACACTTAAACTTAAAAATATAAAGTAAGAACAAAATTATTTAAAAGAGCAACACGCAAGTTTCTTGGTCATTCTTCTTGTGATGAGACAGCTTTCCAAATGAGCGGTAGATTGAAAAAAAGTGATGACTATTCAAAAGTGTTTCGATATAAGTTTATTTGAATAAATGATTTTCTATTCTATTCTATTCTTGGACTATGTAAGTTTTATCTGTAGAGTAACGGCACATTTTCTAATTTCAACTATTTTAGTTAATATCTCAAAAGTGGTGTTGTAATATTTCGATATTTTACATTTTTAAATATCATAATTGTCAACTCGCTTGACCTGTTATTATGAGACGTGATTAATGGGTGGATGGCCACTTATACATAACAATTGTGTTGGATAACGAATCCTTATAAAGTAATATATAAAAAAGAAAGAGGACTGTATTTATTAAAAAGAAAATAATTAAAGAAAAAGGAAGCAGAAATACGATTTCGACCTGGAGGAACGTCTTCCACACTCCGAACACCTCAAAGTAAGCAATGTAACACCAAATTACTCACCTTTGCTCAGGAACGTCTCGATGTGTAGTACTGTTTAGTGGCCACGCACTCTAGAGTGTAAATTTTCATAAAAACAATTATATTATGTTAAATAAATCATTATTTTGATTTATATAGTTAAAAAATACGGAGCGTCTTTTTTTCCAGATCTTATTTTCAATTGTTTTTTTATTTTTTATTCGAAATTTAAGTAGCCACATGTTTTTATATGTGGCCAGTATTACCGAGCGCCCTTTGCTTCAGTAAGCAAGCCGGTGATACAACCTGCTTAGACTAAGGAGATTCGGAATACGGAATATATTGTGTATATTAAATTTATAACCAACAAATAACGAATTAATAAAAATCATAGTTTATGGTTGTATGGCCTCTTATACTGAACATTTATGTTTATGTATAATGTGGAATGAACTACCAGCCGAGGTTTTCTCACAAGACTACAGCATGACATTTTTCAGGAAGGGTACATTAAGGTTTCTTAAGGGTTGGCAACGCGCACGTGACACCCCTGGTGTCTCATGCTTCCATAGGCTACGGTTACCATTTACCACCAGATGGGCCGTATGCTTGTTTGTCACCATAGTAGTATAAAAAAATATGATAATGATGTCTTTAAAATCGTTTACAGGCGAAGGAGACGGCTGCATATTTGTACGTCAAATACTGCCCCTGAAGGACGCAATCGTCTGCGACTACGCCAATCAACTGAGAATAGTTCGCTTCCCACTCGTCTCCGATATGAAAAACGAATAAAAGAAAACAACTAGAGAATATTTTTGTGTACAGCTAAGATTATATTTATTTATCCAGCTGAACGATAGACTTCCATAGTGTCTTACAGTGTCTTACAAATAGCAGATTTTTATATACTATCTTTACACGGTTATAATTCTAATAAACTTCATTGTTAAGTACTGGTTAACAATTAGAATAATATCTATAGCATACTTGGCATCGTCACATCCTAAACTCGCGCGACATGTCGTGTAAAAGTACTAATATGAACTCAATAGGTGCCTTCACACGTTTCTATGATTAGTACGAACAAAACACACAGACAAACGGGTAAAAATTGTATTAATCATAACTTTAGAGTTCTATTGGGTTGTCAGTGTTCTCCAATACTTTTTCTAGTATGTGTTATCTACAGATATTATTGTGTTACAGTTTTAATATACGTATAGATTGTTCCTGATTTTAGTAATATCTCAAAGTACATAGTAATTAACTAAGATTATGTTTCAGAATGTTGATTCATAAGGTCAATATCTCTCTTTAGGCTCGTTCACGCGCGAATCGACTTTCAGGTAGAAAATTATAAATATGTGTAAATGTAGACAAAGAGAACGAGAAAGAACTCGCTTGTGTCGCCAGTGAGCGCATTCACGCGTACTTCAATCGTGCGTGCTTTAGCGGATTTTTGTAATAATTAATTATCATTGCAAAATAACGGACAACTGAATATGGAGCAATTACATAATTATAGAGTTATAGATAATTAAAACGCCTGTCTTTGAAATTAAAATCTATGGATTAAATATGACATTTTAAATTAAAAAAAGAAGAAAGTATGACATGACAATGGCACTTAAAAGTGCACAAAAAATAGTGCAATAAAATGCAGTGGGGATCGATCAGAGAAAGCTTTTATAAAAGTGTTTGGCAATGAAGTTATAAAATATTAATAAAAAGTACTTTTATACTACAGTTAATTTATGCTTTTTCTAATTGCAAACAAAAGTAAATAAGCACTTAGACGCCAAAATAACATCACATCTACCTCGACATTGAAAAATTATTGAAATTGTAGTATTATCAAGTAACAAGATGTACTAACATCCAAATAGTATCCTAAATATTGATCTAGTATACTAAATAGAAGGGACTAGTTCTGTCGTTAAACTTTATGAACACTAAAAATGTTCTTTTCGTGCTCTTGAATCGCTCTGACTACTTTAGCTGGCCGCAGAGACAAACTACGACAATTATGCTAATGGCTATTACGATCTAACAAACACATTAATTAACATTTCCTTGTTTAGTATGCTATGGATATACAAACACGGGGATGTGGTTCGTTTCTGTGAAACTGTTTCGTATTTTATAGATAGCGCCGCGCGGGCGCGGTTGTATAGCTTAGGTTAAATATTTATATTTATTATGTCCTAATCACAGGAAGGATTGATTTGTATTATTTAGTTGGTGTCTGCAGCCGCGCCCCGCCTTAGTTTAATGAACGGGGCCTTAGAATTAGAATAATTATTGTTTTGTTGAATGTCAAAGTGCTCCGATCGAAACTAAATGTAAATATATCTTAGATAAATTTATCGCAAGTACCTACTACGTATCAACTACGTTCTTGATGCTTTTGTATTATTTATAAAAATGCCTATTTGTATATATATAATGTTTTAGTATTTAGATTTTATCGTTTTTAAAGTTTTACTAAAAGTTAATTGTATATTTATGCGAAGTTAGATTAAATTATCAAAATATTTTTTCACATGTATTTTATGAAGTTGTAACTACAGTTTGTATATACCGTTAATATTGTTACTCGTGCCAGATTACATATCTCGTAAACTTTTACAATTATCCTAATGCGAGACTTTCATAATAAATAATTTATAATACCTAGAATATTTATTGTTCAGTTAAAAACATCGATTTTAATTAATTTATATATATAGAGTTGTTAAAACGAACTCTGTAATTGGCTGGCTGATCTATCTCCAAGTACCTATTTACCGGTACTTTATATTGTGCCAGGTCCCTTAAGGAGTATGACGACAGCACCAACCGCCAAACAAAAAGTTATACCATATTTATCCTCATCACTATGAAGTAAATGCAGACACAAGGTCTAGCTTTGCTTTATAACCTAGTCTTCTACTTTTGTAACTCAACTAAAATATGACAATAAAATATAGATTGAGAAGTACAAAAGTCTATGATATAGAACATCAGTATTGTATAGTGTTACATCACCTTCATTTTTTGTCAATAGATGTCGCTCATGTAGAATATATTTTACAACTTATTTAATTCATTAAAGTACTAATTATGACGACATTTTCATTGAAAACATAATATTTAAAGTATTTATTACCTATATATTATTAGCTTTAGACGCATATACACTGTTTGGTTATATTTTTATTATATTTAGTACCGTAAAGGTGTTGCAGTTTTATAATAATAAAAACAAAACGCTTAATCATTTTGGATAGAGTTGAAAAGAATTTACAATTTTCTTCCATAGTCATTACATTGTATAGAAAAAATGATTTCCTGTTCGTTTTTATTACGCTAATTCTGTCCAAATGTGGAAACAGAATCATTAATAAAATAAAATTTACTGAATATTATTTAACGTTTTTTTTTCTACAATCCCATATTCGTCAACGACTTCCCAATTTAGCTGATGGGCAAGTCTCATTACTGGTAACTTTCTAATCGGTGTCGCATTCTTGGTTGGTTCACAGTCATTATTTAGTCTGTTGACTCGAATTTCAAAAACCAGTATGCTTGTCGTAACTTATTGACTAAACTATTATGTTGTACATAGAGCATGATGATGACCAGCCAGTAGTCTTACCGCATGATTTTTAATTTCATCATAAAGAAGGATTGTACTTTTCATATCATTGCCGATTCTTTTATTCCCCCGCAAGCGCAAAACTACTTTTTCTTTTATTCTCTTGAAGTTGACAATGTGCCTCATTTTTAGCTAGTAAGTCCTACACATTTTGGTCCGTTTATTTCGCTGTTTAAGGCATTATAGTATTAAATTTTCTACGATATCAAGACGCATTTCTAAACTGAGGGTCAGTCAGTCAAGAGCAGGATCTTTTTCGATTTGCGAAATATTTTTGTTTCTGGTCTTGACCGACTACTCTCACCTGATCTGATGTATAGAGAAGCCTACCGTGTCACTTGATGCACTGGATGCAGCACGCTCTTTTTGTGAGATTTCACTTACCTTCAACTGACAGAGCTCGTTCTCTTCTCAGATCTTCTCTCGAAATTTTATTTTAAAATATATTAATTCAATCTTACTACATTAATAAAACGAAAGACTTTAAATAGTTATTGTATTAACATATGTAAACAATTTTTTGCAAGATTTTTTAAATAAATTCATTGCGATTATTTTGACAGCATGTGCTAGCTTTACCCATTTGAAATAAAACCATTTTAGTGAACTACACATTTTTTTGTGCAAACAAGACACCTTTTCATTCTATTGTGTGTCTGCAGACAGACCCTCTTTCATTGTTCTGACACGAAAGATGATGAGTAATTCTATGTGTCTGTCACATTTGGATATTTGGTGTAAGTACCTGCTTCCTTATCAATGTACTATGGAGAAGACGATCGAAACCATCGTTTTCTAATTATTCTAGTTAGTAACGATAATTAGCCAGTACCAGACAAGCAAACTGCGTTAATTACGAATGATAATAATAATAACTACATTACATTAAAATATTAATTTATTTAGTCTCGAATGATAAAATATCGAGTAATGTACGTTGTAGTGAAAATTATATACCTATATAATTAAAATAAAACAGCATTATTCATGTCAATAAAATTAGGTAGGTACATTGTAGGATAGAATTATGATTACTTGTGTTCAAAACATTGCACTGATCAATTTGAGCACACTGATCGAATCTACGAATTTAAAGATTAATATATAAATACATCAATAGGTACAGTCAACATCAAATGTAACTAAGCAAGTCGGTGAAATCAAATATTTCTACACAATTCATATATATATACCTAATAATTATAAATTTGTACATAAAATATTATTGTTAGTTTCAATATAACGAAAAGTGAGTAACTTTAATAGTATTTTATTGTGGATAATGTTGAAATGTTACTGCTACCTGCCTGGTACCTACGCTGGTCAGGTAAGAGACAAAACCATGACAAAGAAATCATTCATTCACCGTTCGTCGAAGCATATTTACCAGAAATTTAACAATTAGTGTATAAATTTATATTTCATTTGGCTTTCCTGTAAAGGAAACACCAATAAACTAGATTAATGCGATAGACTGTAAGAGGTGATCCTGTTGCTTCATTGCAATTCAAATGTACTCAGCAAAACCTGTAAAATCACCTCATATACGTTTAACACTGCCCTTAAATTTTATAATAACTTTCTCGTCCCAGTATATATAATAATATGCAGGTATATTATCATATATTGCTGACTTGAACCTCACGGTACAGGATGAGGATTCTTAGTTACGATTATTGTTCCTATTGTCAGCATTCTGCCATATGAGATGGACTTCCAGTCACACTGCAAAGCCATTGCTTGCATTTACTTTCCCATTTCAACACGAGATAATTGACCTGATTTCATTCTCATCGTTTTTTCATCCAATATACTTTTAGCGTAGGTAGATGCGATTTCAAATTTCTTACCACCAATAAAAACATGTCTAAAGTCACTACATTTAACCCTTTGTCTACTCCAAGAATACATAACATTTTTTGCCAACAATAATTTCAACAAATAAAATCCCTCAAAATATGATCCACAGATTGTGTATGTGTAGAATTATTTAATTACCTGATCTGCTTAAAGATACCTACTTAATCGGCTTATATCTACTAAACAGAGGCCCACACTACAAACTGTTCAATATTGTTATATTTCTATTGTTACACTAAACCAAGAGTATACATTTCTTTGAAGAGTATTATAGACAATCAATCAAATCACTGGTAAATAACTATTTCTTATATATTGCACACTTCACACGACTTTTATCATAACAGTATCTACGTAAAACATGTTTTGTGGAAAGGCCTATTTAAAATTACCTTTTGTCTTACATACAAGAGAAATTTTCCATTCAGACATATAGCTACGTTAATATTTTATATCTATATATTACAAACAACAAGAGCGTCATAAAAACGAAATTACAAAAAGAGTGCGAATCCTTGTTCTTTCTCCTGCTCTTGGAATGTTTGTATGATGAAAACACGAAATAATGTGGCGTTCCTTAATTATTGAACAGCATTCGCAATTACTATTACTGATTGTTCTGGCTTTGTTCATTTCAGTTTATCTGTGCTCTTTTGTGCTTTTTGTTTACTTCCAAATGCAACTATAATATCTTACATTATCTGAGTGCATGACTCAAAGATAAGCATCCTATCAGTGAATACTATACAACCTCAGACATTGGCGGTAACTACCTCAAATTTATAAAGTAAGCATAGCACTGCTAACCCTGTTTCCTGGATGGTACAAAACTATTATTCATATTAAACTTCGTCCTGTACACTAACTGTGATTTTAACAATCTTCAAATATCTATCAGCAAATCGTAATCAAAATTAAGAAAATACAGTTGCAATATCAATTTGTATTCATGTCCATGGTTACAGAGTATCATAGCATACCGTACATTATCATGTACCTCCACATATTTATTCATCCATTCATTCCTTACTTTACAAGAGCATGGTCCCGTTCCTTGACACCTTAACATTATGGGGTATAGTTAATTTAGTTCATAAATTCCTTTCATAAACTAAAAACGGTCATATTTACCGAAGAACTGAAACATTTAAGTACATACGTCTGATGATGACTGTACATAAATATAAAAAAGTATACCGCATAAAAATCAACAAGCTTATGACTAGTTACTCCCGGGAGATATTTCATGCAAGCACATTAAAACAAACTAATTAAAATTCAACCAAGAGCTTGTCACATATATTAACTATATGTGTACGACAAATAAATTAATAGAGTTGAATTAACTATCTTAATTCATTGGTTTCGTTCATCATATTTATATGTAAATAGTTACGATACATTTAGATATAAGAAAACGACCGCGACATGAGAGCAAGGTTTTCAATTTTATTTCAATATTTTATTCTATTACTGGTAATACCTATTTCAGACATCATTTTCTCACAACAATTGATGGTAACAATTGTAATTGTTGCAATGTATTATCCAAAAACTACATGTATTTGTTGCCAATGTATATTGTTGTACAATGTTTGTGAGAGGAAATAAATAAAATTATTATATATTAGCTACTTACAGAACCACTACCTTATGTTTATGTCTCATGTCGCGTCATCCCTCGCAGCATCGTGTCCCAAACTCTAAGTTCAAAAGCAGTGACGAACATTTCTAAAATTTCAACACTAGCGGTTTGCATTTGTAAAAAAAATTGATAAAAAACATTTCTTATTACTGTCAATATTTAAAATAAATGTATTATTATTAAAGCAATTGATGTGAAGCAAAAGCAAATTCGTTGCTATTGGGTAATACATCTTTTGAGAGGGTCGTCTCCATTTTCCTGAGTCTTAAAAACTTTTTATTCATGATAATCGGACTTACATATATAGACGATGCTATGCGATAACATAAAGATGACGATATAGGAACATGACGAAATAATATGGTTTTAACCCTAACGAAACCCAAAGACTGTAGGTACGTACAGATATTATGTCAATTTTAAAAACTCTATCTAATTACAAATATACATACAGATCTAAAATAAACTAGATGGAGATTGATGTGAATTCATATTACTAGTTAACAATATTAATAACTAAATCTAAATGAAACTTAATATAAAGACACAAAAACGGACACAACGGCGTGTAGCATGAAAAGTAAGAGGAGATTCGTTTTAATTACATGTAGCGTAGTTTTGCTTCAAAATGAAATAATTTTTAATTTAACGTGTTTGTTTCACATCTGGTGTATATTTAGATACTTCAATATTCCTAATAACCTCCAAAGAGTGGCCCTCTTTGCAGGTTATTAGGAATATTCAAAGATTCCTAATTATATCTTCAAGAAGGGGCTATATTAAATTCAGAAGACGATCTGGACGGTTTCAAAATATCCCATTTCTAAATATATTATACGTCAAATGGAATGTGAAATTCAATATTTCATTACATGTATTTATATATATACTCACTGTTTCATTAACAATTTCCTAGTGATTTCTTCCTAAAAACCTGTTATTCGTTACATTATTTGAAGGAACTCTAATACTAAAGTGAAAAATCCCTAAACAAATTTACAAATCACGAACAGTTACAAAACTACGCTATGACGAAACTCCTCTACCTTCATACGACTTACTAAACAATTAGTGCACAATTGCGATGCGTATATTGTGTAGGCATAGGTTTGCATAAAAATAAGAATTAAAATTCGATCCGATTATATTACAATAACGATGGAATATTCATAAATAATAATTACACATATACCTACGTAAACCTAACGCTTGCCAGAATTTGTTGTACTATTCTTAGATTGTTATACCGGAGTAAATCTATTATATACATACATATAAATAAGTAAGGGTCCTGGCTGCCGTGACTCAGAAAAAACTATACAAGTCGTTCCTTTTTGGCAAACAACCTTGGCATATCTTTTAAGTGAACTATAGAATCTTGGGACTGGATCATATGTACCGCGGAACAATAACTATATGTTATTTATTTAGTCATTGTTCTTAGATATGTGCCCGAAATCTATGGTACCCACTGTTAACAATATGAATAAATTGTGAGGACAAAAATGTATAACCCACGTCCCAAGTCCCTATACCCATATTTTTTTTGGATTCCATACAAAGCAGGTAAAATGGTACTCTTATGTTGCGAGAATATGCGTCCTTTCGTCATAGTTATTAATACTGGTAGGCCGGGTCACAATAGAAACGAAACATTAATACAAAATATATATAAGGGGGTCCCAAATTCTGACTAGAAAGTTCCAAATAATTCTACCAGCTTAAGTGTCCTTGAAATGGCTTCATTTCTAAATTACTTGTATTTTGTTATTCCTTGTAGATTTTGGGTGGTATGATGGAAAATCAAAAACTTATAATAATATCCAATAAACGCATACATGAGAGACATGTTTAGGTATAGCCATTCAATTGTATAACCGGAGATGATCCAAATGAATGAAACCACATTAAACCCGCATCTAGGAGACGCTGTAATGACCGCTGTGTCTAAATAAACCCATACTTAGCTTAAAAAGCTACATACATTGTTTATTCAGAACATTATTCATACTTATTACTGTCCGAATGGTAAGCATTAGTTATCCAGAATTAGCAATGCAAAGTATTTTAACGACATTACTACACATTTCTGAAAGCTTCGAATTTATTTACTTTATAATATGCTTATTGTTTACACACATGATCCTTCCGGAAGAAACTATATACTGCTTTATATATAACTACTTTGAAATCGAGTCGAGAAACAGATAGATAAAACAGCGTAACTTCTTTATACGAGTTATTTAGACGCTATAATTTTTAAATATGTCAAGATTGTTTGCCAAATGAAACAAGGTAAAGTAAATCAAAAATAGTTATTTTACATAATTTAAAATATAAAATAAATTTGGGTCAATTAGAATAATATTCACAAGAAATAAGTATACCATGTACCCGAAAACTATATATTTTTTGTATAATAAAGTAACAAATTATTGTATAAAAAACAAACTAGCAAAGTATTCGATACTCCTGAAAATAGCTTTACTCGAATCCTTTTAAATTATTTCATTTTTGGGACCTCACAATAAAAATCATTGCGAGTGCTTTTCCTTACATTTTGGTTTCCAAATTCACACATTATATGTGAGAATTATTAATCCTACATGCACATGTATGTTAAAAATTATGGCTGCAACCAAGGCAGAAGACAATAATCTTATCTCAATAAGATGTCCTAATGACAGATTTATAAGAAGTGGAATATTGCATATTGACATATGTGGTGACTAAGTAATCGCCATAATAAACTACAGATACTAATCACGAAAATGGGAAACAACAGATTGCTTGTTGGCGTATACGCAAGATTTACTGCTAGTAAAATATTACATAATAAATTATAAAGATAAAATGTGACATTATTCTGTTGGCTTGGATCCTTAAAGGCGATACATTATAACCATTTTACATTCAATTTACACATTAATATAATTATTAAATATACACCTATTTCAGTCAAACTTAATTGATAAGTAGGTAGTTGGCAAAAAAATGCAGAGTGCAATTCTGCTTGGAACTAAAAGACGCTGCAATTTACAAAGATTGTTTATGTTTGTTGTTTTTTAGAATAATTATTTTACAACATTTCGCCGAGCGTCTATATTGTTTGATATTACTACTAATAAGTACCATCCTCCACATAAGTAGGTACTAATTAATAGTAATTATCGGACATTTAATATCACTGCTATCAGTTAATAGCACGAAATTGTTCATACAGAAAGATCCAATTAGAATGTGCACGAAAAGCGTAATTAAAAATTTAAACACTAAAGTATGTGTTTTGTAGACTACCAGACAACTTTCATTTTACACATAGGCACGAAAAGTTATTATTAAAATGACGAACTACCTACGTATTATGGTAAAAACCTAATAGACTATTACACGTTGTACGAATGCAAATGTTATAACCACAGTTACATAACGAGGAACAAATATCTAAAGTACTTATCCGAGTAATAACAGTCTCTTAAACTATTAATACCTTACATGTAGTGTATGTGTATATATAGATGATGATTTCGTAGACTTTTGGTATGCCACAGTACTGTGTATACACATTTTAATAATGCCACATACACAACGCGAGTTACATACACGTCCATGCCGTTGTAAACTGAAAGAAATACAAAATAAATTGTGAATAATCCAACACCAAGGTCTAATTGTGAAAATATTTGCTTCGCCAAAATATGCGCGCGCTGGCCCGCTACGCACATAACAATCGCAATAGCGTCCATTGCAGTCCTGTACAGCCGTGTTTTAACTCAATTGCAGGTTCCTTGCTTGCTAAAAATCAATGGCGCTTACTGCTTACAATTTAATTCCCCCAATAATTACAATTGTTTTTACCATAGAAGTTAACTGTAGACGTTTAAAGGATATTAACTAAATAAGCAATATGAATGTTGCTTATTGTAAAGAGTAACTTTCCTTTAAAAACCCATGCGCTTGCATAAATTAATATTGGATTGAACCAATACTCTCTTGCTCTAATCCTCGATTGTTCAATTTATTACAATATTGCGACTTTACTCTTATATATTATAATAAATAGGGATTTCAAAAGAACTTCTCCGTGGTTATGTCATCACTAGATAAATCGCCACTCACCTTCAAGAATCTATTGGCAGATCGTTAGTGTATTTATTTATTAAACTTAAGATATATTTGTGTTTTCTTCACTGCAGAAGCCACATCTTTGCTTTTTCATACTGTTATATATATACGTATAATACAGGATCTTACCACGTCTTATTTTATTGAGTGACCCATATTTTTATGTATATATTAATTGCGATTATTTGTAGTTTTAAACCGACAAGAGAGTATACATTTTTTACAATATCGCTTGATTTTAAACCTAGTATTTAACGTATTTTTTCATTATTCATTTAATTACTGCCGCGAGCAAGTATTGTAACTATTTTTAATGACACAAATAAAATGAAGGAGAGTGTCGGTAATGAGTTGAGAGTTCCATTACTAACAAACATACCGCTGCAGGTCCTCGCCCAGCATCCCTTTGAAAACTAACTTTCTGGAACCAATTGCTAGTGAATTCGCTGCACTGAGACGACAAACCTGACCTGACTTTATACTCAATATATCCTCTTCCACTGGTACCACGCCAGCGTATACCTTTATCTCAGACGGGTGCATTATTAATCCTACATATTCATCTCTATAAGCAAATAATAACCTTTAAAAACAAAGGATATTTTTTGTGCTTCCTGGACCTCTTAAGGTACACTATACTAGGTACTTCCAATGGAACTGGCGAACTAAATAATTAAATATTTGATATAAAGTTACGCAAAGGCAAAATATTCGCATAGCTTGGAATATTTATTCTACATATTGTAAACTATCTTTGGGTCAAAATCACTAAGGTGGAAAATTTGCTTTGGCAGCATTTATATTTGATTTTAGACAGTTAATATTTTTAAAATTTAATATACAACTAATTAATTGTATGAAATTAAAATGTAAGTTTTTAAATATTTAGACCTTTTATTAAAATAAATATGTACTTATACTTATGATTTCAAATATCATGATAAGATCATATTTTAGAGAAAACAAAGACTCGTTTTCTATACCCCTCTTCATTTCATAGAACATCATTAAAGTATTTATATGTTATTTCTCTTTACTTTAAATATAACATTACGAGACCAGTAAATAACTTTATTCTCTGCAATATATCATTTTTTTAAACACACAAAACTTAAGTTTGTTAATATTGAAATCTTGGATTAAGAGAAATAATAAATATTTTAGTGATCATTTAAGCTAATTATTAATGTAATAGCTTTTAAATAAATTCATCAAAACATAACAACAATTCGCCATCTTGGTAATTTTGAGCCGGTTTATGTTAATAATTACAATAATGTGCAGTTAGTTGAAAGGAATTTATTTTTATGTTATTAGTCTATTTTCGTATGCAAATTTATATCAATTATTATCTGAACAACTTACGAACGCATTGATATGACAAATAAAATTACTCATATTAAAACATACTTTATTTCACAAAGAATAAGTACATGTATAAAAAATGCAATTCGACAATTTCAATATATGTCACAATGGAACAATTTAGAGTGTACAATTTGTAAATAGAATATAATTCAGATATAATATACAGGTACAACACAGGTTTTGTCACTTAAAAATATTCAGGCACTTGGTATAACTATGACACTTTACTAACGCTTATAATATGCATCCATTATTTTTACTTACAAACACTTCAGATCAATTACTTTAATTTTTGGTAACTGAATGTGTAAATTATAATTAAACATTCAAAAACTTATAAACATGGCATTCCTAAATTTAAGAGCACCTTTAAATTATTTTAGGTTCTTTAAATAATACTGATAATTTCAATTGGACTAGATCATATCTTTCTACCCGTAACAGCAATGAATACAAATCTAACTGAGTGATCATATTTATTTATAACAACTATCCATCATATTTATAATAGGAGCGGTAATAAATAAGATACGTGGAGTGAACTCTACACCCTAAATAAAAAATCTTAAATCTTTGACTCTATTAAATTGTAATGTTTCTTTCATTATTAACAAACATTATCATGTCTAATCGGTTGCTGTATGATAAATATAAATGGATAACTGTGAGATCTCAGTAGTGTTACAGAATTAGCTTCATTATAATCATTGCTTCATTGTATAATTACTATATTATCAACAAATATTGCTTAGTAATAAAATATATTCATATTAATGTTGTCTGAGACGATACTAATTGCATGACTTTGTATTTCGGCTATCTTAAAAACTATACTATATACTATTGTCCTCATTTAAAATATTAATTATTAAAAGATAAGGCGTCGCTCAGCGAAACTATTGTTAATAGCACAGTCGACTAAAGCCTGTTTTTTTAATTCCGAAGACTAATTTGATTTTTTATTTCTCTATAACGGTCAAGAAACGTAAAGCTTTAAAACTAATAAATATTTTCCGATTAAACAGATCGGTATCGCAGGTATACTAACTACTATACTATCCCGCTATAGGTTACATTTATACCTGTCAATTTAGTCTCCGAGATTAAAAAACAGACAAATAGATTTAATAATGGAATGTTAAAATAGTACTTATACCTATAGTATTGCAAATATATTGTTATGTGACTATTGTGAATGTGAAGGTAGCCTACACTATTATAGTTGTCAAACAGTAAAATATAACCTAACTGGTTTAAAACCTAATATTTATGTAATCAGTCTTCAATAGGAACTATCGCTTCGTCATTTGTATAATTACTTAAAAACACTATATATTACATTAAACTAGACTTAAAATTAGAGAAAACAATTATTATTTTTTGGGAACAGTTAGTTAATCACCTAATTAGTACAAATAGAAATTTCCACCTAGGCGAATATGTCATAAAAACGATTTATAAATGGAAATATAATTCGCTGCACATAATGACAATGTCAAATATATAAATTCAAAGATTTTAATAGTCATTTATAAATTATTAAACGCGTAATCTCCAAAGTACAAAATCTACACAACAAAACATTTATTTAATCGCCTGTATAATATTCTAATATTTTCTGTCTTGTATTGCGAAACTGTAAACAAATAAACAAAATTATAATATTTTTCACCAATGAATTTCACTTGCGGGAAGTGATATTTTGTGACATAAAAATAGTAGTTTTGCAATACATCCAACATGTCTTCCTTGATATTTCAATTATATTTTCAAAATTGGAATTTTAATAAAAATCACTGTGTATACCAAATGCGTACTCGAGTTACAAATTCAACTAGGTAGCTTAAATTGTATAATAAAATTTAACGTGGAATATGTTCTTTTTTCGGTTTTGATAAGATATTGTATAGATAAGATTACTGATATCATATATGAGGATGTTTCAAAACTACATGTACTGGAGAGTCTGCATCTCCCGGACATTTCCGGTCGGCATTTTGTGATTCTTGTTTCCTTTCCCCATATAGGTATTACTTTTTGGTATACGGAAATTCAAATGGTTCTATTTTAGATTTGAGCAAAAAAAAGATCCATTTCTCGAAATGAGAAGGGTGATCGGTCGGATATATATTTCTAAGTTGAGGTTATATACACATCTTAACAATATGAGAGGCAATGTCCTTAGAAAGATAATCACAACGTTATTATAATAAAAGTACAATAGCACCATTTCAAATAGGTACAGTGAAAACTTCACAAAGAAGATATAATTTAAATCTACCTGCTTTAAGGTACGGTGTGAACAATAGCAAAACAACAAATTTTCTCGTTGCAAAATTTGTAATATTTACCTAAGTAGTACCTTCGTAAGATACTAATATAGTGTCTTTTTGAAATCACCCTAAATATCAATCGCATAGATAACATTCACAGTTTAAAAATTAGCAGGTATTCGAGGGCCAAGGAGCCGATACCAATCAACTATCACTTCGTCTGTTGGTCTTTAAATATTTTGTATGATTCATATTCCAGTTTTTTTTATTATAGTATTTCTGTAGGACTTTTTCCACAGTGTAATACAAAAGTAATAATAATGAATAAAAAACTAATATCACACACATCAGATTGAAATATCAATTAAACATTCTTATCAAAACACTAAACATTCTCATGTTTATTCTCAATACGCGACGACATAAACAATTGAATAACTCAACTCCTCCACTAAGTCTATTTGTATTTTCTTTAGTACGTGGCTTCTCTATATCACTGAGTAGTCGTACCGTTACTGTTTTAACACTAAATAATCAAGACAGTTACGGTATAATACTACTATATTGTCGCTTGAGACGATGTACATTATACATGATAATGAACTGACTTAATGTACATAAAAATAATCTTATATAAAAAATGTACGATGGCACAGTTTAGACACGGTAATGTAACCAATAGACAATATAGAGTTTCTCTTATTATTTATTGCTAGTAATATATCGATGTATCTAGTATGTATCTGTAACTGTGTGCCATAAAGACCATTAAGACAGATTAACGCACAGCACCAAAATGTTTTTTACATACGTCTTGTCAGTTATGGTTCAAATCCACACTATTTCACCAGAACTGATTATTATAGTGGTAACTAGAGGATTCGATCCCGCGAACCCGGAGCCCGGGATCCAGAGTCAGATCAGGCAGTTAGATTTTAGTGCCCAAATTTTCTAAATTTAATTCAATGAAACCCAGGATTTACGGGATAATTTTTTTTTAGATATGTAAAAATGTGCGTGAATCATATCGCACTTAACTTTCATTGGATGTTTTGATCATTAAACAAAAAATGAACCCTCATAAGGCTATTTCCAAACGAGGTTATAATTTGGAAAAGACTTATAAAAAATTATTGATTATTCCTCCAACTACCAACGAGCCCAAATGCGCTTTCTTCATCTCTTATATTTGTGCAACAATTCAAAAGAATGCTTTCGGAGGAGACGTTCTATGCGTAGTTGTTCCTTAGATTTTTTCACGCTAAATCAGTAATTTATAAAGTTTCATGTCTACTCTGGTCCACAATCTAAAATATGAGCACCTATAAACATTGGTCTCTTTAGCATCTATACTTTTATATAGGTAACCTAAACAAGTCTTCAGAAGTTGTTGTCTTAGTTATTGTATATTGTATTGTAAAATAAAATTAATAATCTAGACAATACTGTAAATAAGTTATGAAACTATTTCATAAAATGTTTAAGAAGTTTATTTTATCAGAAGAAAATATATTTTTGTATTTTTTTTTTTGAAGATTTAAAATAAAAAGTTGAAATTGATATGTTTTACTTTCTATTTCTAATCCAATCGCGGGAATATCTCGGATTCAGGGATTAGAAAAATCGACCGGGATCGAATCCTCTACTTTGTGACGTGGTAACCTATATTTTGTGACGTAAGCGGCGAACTGGTAGATGTTAATGAACTGACAAAATGTACATAAAAATATTGATCTTATATACTAAATAACAATAGTAAAAATGTAACAATAGTAAAAATGTAGGGTGACGCAGTTTCGACACGGTAATGGTTAGTAGACAATATTCAGTTTGTCCTATTAGCTATAATTAATACTTGCAGCATATCTTGATGTATCTAGGTAACTGTGTCTCATAAAGATCAGGGGCGGATCGTTAATTTGTGGGGCCCTGGGCTAAATCTACTTAGGGGCCCACCTAATTATATTACTCGACTAAAAAATACACCCACCAAAATCAAGCGACTAGAAATTCCCCGTTCCTTTCTATAGACGCGCATTTGCATTGGGTTGATCGATCTCAGGATTGTCAACCTTATGATGATAGGTTTTTTAACATTCTAGATATTTTTTTATTTATTCTATATCTTATCTTTTATTCTAAATAGTTTAAGTGGGGATTGGAGGCCCTTTATATCTTCGGGGCCCTGGGCTGAAGCCCCAGAAACCCTTAGGTAGATCCGCCCCTGATAAAGACCATTGAAAGATAGTAACGCACAGCACCAAACTGTTTCTTACATACCTCTTGTCAGTAATTGGTCAACTGCACAATATTTCACCAATACTGTTTGTTATAGTGGTACCCCACATTTTGTGACGATGACGCCGAACCTGTAGATGTCGAAGGTGCAGCCGCCAGAGCAGCCGGGTCGCTATAACTCGCCATATTTTGTGATGTGCCTTCTCCCCATACGTTGGTATATGCAGGGTAACTTGTGTCTAAAGTACAAAAGGCATCATGTTAATATTCCGTACGTAGATGGCGCTCGTGTAACGGAAATAATAGTTCATAGTAAATATTTTGCTTATGAGCATATTATAAGACAATTACTTTTTCAAAATTATATCAATCATTTATTGCAGAATACAGTATTTATAGGCAAATATAATATTAAATATTCAGTGTATTGAATTTACATACAGGTATTATGTTGCCATTATAGTTGGTGTTTTTTATATGTTGACTTGTGTTATTTTTAGATTTTGATTGAAATTTAAAAAAACTAAATTTTAAACTGGCAATTTCGACGGAAGGAAACACTTGCGCGTGTGTCTCTGGTAACTGTTCAGTATTTAATGCATTTTGAACAAAATAAAAACAATTTTAAAACAATGGAGGAAGGAATTTTTCATAAATTGAGGAAGTTATATTGCTGTCACCTAGCCTTTTAAGAAACAATCGCCATTTATATTGTTAATGTATAAAAGGCGATTTTTATAAAAGACTGGCAATGTATTTATAATTCTCCCAGTCTTGCGGGAGCTAATGTACGACGGTTATTTATTTGTCATCGAGTATTCGTTTGTCTCCTATACTATAGGGAAAATCGTATAAAGCTACTGTTTCATTACTGTAGGGTACAGTTCACTCACTCAGCCATGTTGTTATACTGCGATGTAGTTGCCGACTACTCCGGTTGTATGAATGTCAATTTAAATTTAAAAGGTCTGCGACGTACCTAATTCTCTCGTTGTTGCAGGTGTTTATGGCGGAGATTAGTAATCGTCGAGTGCTTGTTAGTCCCCTATGCTATAGGGAAAATTGTAAAATACTACTGTTGTACGGCACGCGGTACTTACTTGTGGATAACTAGTTGTCGACTACTCCGGCTGTTTTATGTTAATTTCTTTTTAAACGTACTTACAATTCTCTTCAGGATCTCACCGGCGACGTAGATTTGTTACCTATACTATAGAGAGCAGGGATGTTAGGGAGCTCCGTAACCGTAACCGAAACTACCGAAATAAGAGTTTCGGATAATATCGGATATGGGCGGAGCCTAATTGAGACACGTTATGTAACCATTTTATTAATTATTTGTATTTTCCTTTTGAAATACCTTAACAAATTAATATCCGTAACCGAAATTAAAAAATAATACGAAATAATTTAATATCCGTATCCGAAATTTCATATCCATAACATCCCTAATAGAGAGTATCTTATAAGGCGACTGTTGTATTGTAGGGTACAGTTCACTCACTTGTGGCCATGTAGTTATACTGCGGCGTAGCGGCCGCCGGCCAGCCCGGCTGTATGGGGGGCGGAGCCGCGGCGCTGGGGTGCGCCATCGACGGCACCTGCGAGAGTGCGACGGGGGGCGGCTGAGCCAGTGACGTCACCGTCACAAACGGCACCGGCGCCACCGGCTCGGTCGATCTATCTTCCACTACACCCTTAGGCGGAGGCACCGAGAACCCCGACTTTTGATATGAGTCTAAAAAGCGCTTAATTTCCTCTTCGTCCTCGGCTGAGGCTTGCGTCGGTTGGGTTTGACCTTTTAAACTATTTATCTGCGAAATTTTTGGTACATTATTAATTGAGTTGACATTTCTAATGGGAAGCCACTGTACATGACAGCATCATAGAAAAGAATCACTGATAATCTTAAAACTAATCACAAATGTACTCAAATAAATAATATTACTAATAATAATATAATAACATCAGAATAATTCAGTGTAACATGTATGTATTTACGAAAAAAATGTATCTATGTATTTGCATCAGTTATCAAGTACCCATAACACAAGCTGTAACTAGCTTAATTTGGGTCTAGGTGGCGCGTGTAAATTGTCCTGAGATTATTATTATTATTATCTACGTTTAAGTAAAGAACGTAGAAGAAATATTAAATAATCTCAAACAAACTGAAGCGTAATTACTCACCAATGCATCTGCTGTAATTATCGATCCAAACGGATTAGGCGTTTCATCCTGAAACATTAATTAAACATCGTATTAATTATATAGAACATTATAAATATAATATCACTATAAATAAAAATATAAGTTCAATTTGACATACCTCTAACTCCGGCTCCAAAGGACTTAGATTTAAAGTGTTATAAGATTTCAAGAAATTTGTGAGTACTTCTAATTCTTTTCGGTACTTTTTCATAATCAACGTTTTAGATTTCTCCTCAGCTGCCAATTTGACAATATCTTCTTCAAGTATAGACGTCCTGTTAAACCAAATACTTCAATGGATTATAGTAGAAATTATACGAATAGATAATTATAATCACGATGTATTAATAAGACTAACACACTAAACTCTTAGCTATTAAAAGTAGACTAAAGACCGCTTTCATAAAATTTATTTCCGAAAGTAATCCTAATTAATAGTAATCCATATTTTTTAATTACGATTTAATTATGCGCATAAAGATAAAATCTGTGCCATTTTCATTAAATATATTCAATTCATCCTATATATAAAATTCTCGTGTCACAATGTTAGTTACCATACTCCTCCGAAACGGCTTGACCAAGTTTTATGAAATTTTATATGCATATTCAGTAGGTGTGAGAATCAGCTACTATCTACTTTTCATACCCCGTAGAAGGATTGTCGCCTAATATTTATTTCTTGGACAAATGTTTATTTTTCAATTTATTTACATGTGGCATTAAAAATACACACAACCCTAAATTTTCACCCTTCTATCACCGACCCCTATTTTATAATAGTAATTTTAATTTATGTGGCAAAACAACGTTTGCTGGGTCAGCTAGTATTTATCATATATATTAGAAACATTTAAGTTCTCCAATTCACATACTTTATGAATATTAAGTTTACTTCCAAGTGACGGTTTAACTCAAAATAGAAAGGTCATATTTATGAACAAGCCGTTGACTATATACACACAATTTTATATATGTGCATTCTATTGTTATGTCTTTATATAACATATTAGTTATGGTCAGGTAATAGTTCATGTACATAAGAGTTCTAATAACGTATAACAATAGTGAAATCACAATAGTAATGTACTTTTAACTTACTTTCAAAAGTTGTATACAAATTACGTTAGGAATAGTGAATTATTGAAAATAGCATAGAATTTTACCTTAACTTTATCTATCATGGGGTTACGAATAAGAAATATCTGATAAGACCTAATGCTATTTCATTTTTAAAAAAGTTTTTAATTATTCAATCCCTTTTTGACACATCTATTACTTTGAACTATGTACTATCTAATCACGTTTTCCTTTAGCTAACACTATACCATATTCGGTTGAATTTCTCACAGGCATCCCTGGAATCCAGCGGCAGATAATTCCTGATAAATTCGCAACAAGGCAAACTGACTTGTCTCCATTCATCCTACCAACCTTGACTGGTTGGCCTGCAGGCGTATACCGTTTGAATGATGCACTATTCCATCATAATCCGTACAAAAATATAATACTGGTCCAGATGCCAAATAGGTTCATATAAACGGATAATTGACAGACAGACTAATAGGGGCTCAATGGGGCTGTAAATGGGGCTGTAATGTAATAATAGATAATATCTTCTATGATCTTTAATGATAATATCAGATTAAACCTTATGAGCCACATTAAGTTTACTTCTAAAAACTGTCATAAATATCTGAATACGCAATGGCATATATCGAGTTCGGTGCGTTCTACTGCGCTCTTATGAGTTGGATAAATACAGCATTCATGCAACATCTAACCAGCACGCCTTCGGAAATATTGAAAATAACTTAGAACGTTGCAAAATTACGATAGTGCGTATTATGCAACATTTATTTTTTAGAATATACCTCTCGGAACGATGAATTTAATATACAAAGCACCAACAAGAAGATAACGTAGTACTATACTGTCTTTACTAAAGTGTCCTTATTTATCGGACTTTTATATGTATACAGTGATTTTTATCACTGTGAAAGTCTATTTTCTAATAAATAGGTCATATTTATTTCAAACTCTAATTATACCTGTAATAAGGCAAAGAATACCGTAACTTTAAACTTCTCTCACATTGGGAAAAGCTAATAGGTTTCCTATATTATTAATTGGATTTATTTAGAAGCAGTTAATATATAAAAAAAACTATTGTATATTCTGTTAGTTGGCCTATTTTATTAAAAATTATTATTTTTTTAAATTGTTAGTAAATACATATACGCGACTAGTTAAAAGGACGCGATACGAAAAAATCTATAAGTGTAAATACCTGACCGACTCGAGTACAGATCAACGCACAGCCTAGACTATCGGTCCAAGAATCTTTAAAATTAGTGTATTTTTCTTTTTCTAGATAATTCCTACAAATGAGTTAAATGATTTTGAAGATTTGTGACAATATAACGGAGATGGGATAAGGGGATTTAGCGTAAGAACAATTAGATTTAAGTTCACAGAAAAAATTTGGAAAAAGGAATTTTGAAACCCACGACCAAGACATAAGATTCCAAATAGGCTGTACCGCATTGACTTCGCTCTCATAAATTATTACTATCTATATCTACACCCCAGATTTAATAAATTACTATCGTTTCACTTTTTTATTATATTACGGTATAAAAGGTTAGTAGCAAAAAAGTCGAAAGTCAGTAATTATACTCAGGAATAGAACGTCTCCAAAAAATCAAAAAGTAAATAAGTGAAAATAATTTTTAAGACCTTCATACAAACTGCGCAGCAGTTCAGTATGAAATCACAAAATTTATTTCATATTTCATCTTCATTTCTTGGTGGAAGTAATTAAATATCATGAATATTCTACTGAGCTTTCAGCTTCGTTATATACTTTACGACCAACCCTTCATACACGACGTGAAACAATAATATCTTTTGAATATTCCAAAGGTTTCGCCTACTCTTTATCGCACAGCATAATACTCCTTATAACCTTTGGGCAAGTGCTTTGGCGTTTTGTTTGTATTATTATTGCAAAATAACTATTAATATTTATATTGGAACGAAATTACTGCTAAGCAGAAGTAAATAGGCAGTCATTCATGAGATATTTGACGTAGATACGCTAAATTCGCTAGAGGTTGTTTTTTTATATCACATGTGTGCTTTGCATTGAAAACAATCGCATTATCAATTTTTTATTGTTTTCCCGGCGTCGACAATAAAAATAAGCATTTAACTGTCATACCTGTACCTATATACCTGTCATTGGTATGTATACTTATAATGTAACGAAACAAATTGCTCGATAGCTGACCTCGCTTCCCACTGCGTACATATCGCGCAGCGGGACACCGAAGCGACTGCGTCAACTTTTCTTGCTTTAGATGGTCCAGCTGAGAACAAATTCATATCTCCTAGCAAAACACAACATTAGCCATAAACAAATAATCAAACAATTTCCGTGCCACCTGCTCATTGATATGATAATTATGAGATATCTGAAGTTATATATTTTGTTGACTGAAACCAACATTGTGTAAAATAGAGACAATGTGTAGGTAGCTACATTTATAAATATACACCAAATAATTACTATCATTGTATGTATTATCTTGGTGTAATCAAATGGAGATAGAGAGATTAAAAACTGAATACATAGAAAACGTTCTAAATATTTATATTTCGAAATTGTAACCACGGAATTAGTTATACTTTAATTTACCATGGCAATACTGCAACAAAACTATTTTATTCTGGTTTTTATTAAATTTATAAAAAATTAAAACAGTATATAAAAATAATACTTTCCGAAATATTAGGAAATATCTTGTAATCCTAAAAATATGCCATCAGTTGATATCGATACACGTGTCGCGTTGTAGAATCAAGACTATTGTATAAAAAAAGGTTTAACGTAAAGATGTGCAACCTTTGTAATCAAAGGGATAATATAATTTTTTTTGTCGCTCATATGGTAAGTATAAAACTTTATTTAAAAATAAACATTAGATTAAGAAAAAATATAAATTCAATAAAAACGTTCTTATAGCATGTCTGAACAAGTAGCCAACAAGTAACTCGTCACAAAAATTTGTTTCGGTTAAATGTACTACCATTTTATTATAATAATTTTATAACAATATGTTGATAGAAGATCGAAATAATAAATTTAATTATACAAATACTTAGCGGGTCGCTAAGTGCTATATATGTTTAATTGACCGCGTGTAGCTCATCCCTAGTCCGAAGTGTTTCTCATCAAATTCCGTTTCACCTACACTACACTGGGATATTAAGACTACAGCAATTTCATTTACATCAAATGTATACTTCACAATTTAAATATTTATTATGATAACTAATAACATGAAACCTTTATTACAGTTCCATCAGACTTGAATCCATTTTAATTGATCATATTACCTTTGCGTTATTACTTTCTCATAAAGTTATTATCTAATTATTAAAATATTAAGTTTAATAGAAAACGCCCAGATAAATATGGGATAGTGCATTCTGCACTTATTCAGGTACATAGAATAAAAACTACTACTAGAAACAATGATCTCAAAGATATACCTACATGAAACTATGTGTGTAAGACGAGATGCTTTTGTTGTTCAGATTTGTATCTACTCTCGCATGAATTTTGATTATTTTTACTACTAATACGGTACTTGTTGAAGACTAAATATTGAAAAAGATAACTATATATAAAATATATTTAGCACGTAATATATTTCGAAGAATTTCGAATTTGAAGTGCATTTGAATTTGAAAGAATTTTCTTGTCACATGTATCGTAAACTTTTGGCATTATGTTTTAAAATACAAGGTATATATGTGGTCCAGTCAACATAAACAATATTTATAAAAAATAGTTAAATTACAAAGATAATGCAGACTAAGTTAGAAACTTGAAACTTTGAAAGACATTATGTTAATATGTGGCATAGAAACTGCTATATTCATAACCATGAATTTTCTGATTAATCATCCTTTGGGTAAGTAAATACTAGTAAACTATAAAATAGGTATGTACTTACCTACAGGATAAAAGTACCAACAAAATAGATTATCGACTATCATGTTTGATTTTTTTTTAGTATTTTCTTAATAATAATTACAATTATTTTTAATAATGTATTAAACATTTTGAAAATTTACAATATAATAATTTGTATTGTGATCTCTACATTAAATTTTAAACAATTGGGATTTATATACATAATAATAATAATAATATATTATATATAACAAATATAATTAATCACAATTCATATTTATCGAAAAAAATAATATTTTAACTGAAGCAAATGTTAATTGAAGTACAAACTCCGTAAGACGAATCCAATTTTAAAATTATATTGCAACTAAAATAAAACCCGTTAAAATTATTGGATTTTGCACACTGCTAGTAAATGACCAACTCCTAATTTAAGGGCTGCATCCGTACTATATAAAATATTACTATTTAAATAATTATATTAAAATTATGTATAAAATTAAGACTAAAATATATATTAAATTACGCCCCCAAATACCGAAGTCGCTTATTTTACTAACATTTATCCAAAGCTCGCTGTTACAGCTTCACAAATATCTTGACTTTACGACTGGTTTATGTAATTCAAAATGCAAAATTTTCTTAGGTAACCGTGATGTATATTTAGGATTGTCTCTATAGTTAGGTATTATAATTATTTATTTTATATTGTGTACTGTTACTTGCATCTATTCGCATCCTTGTATTGTTAAATTTCACTTCGAATATTCGCTTGCTGCATTCTGAGTTTACTTGATGATGTACTTCAACCAGAAAATGTTTTGAAATATGTATTTATATCGCCAAGCAAACATTGTGAATGATGATAACAAAAATTGATAGAAATACAATATTTTGAATATATGCAGTTACTATAAGAAGATGAATATAATAATCCAATGGGAATACGTAAATATTTGCATAGACATATAAATTGGATGCATAACTTACCTTCTGTTTCGGTGGCGGTGGTCCTTTTTACACCATTAGGTGATTTTATAAATGAAGGTAACGGAGGTGGAGGCTTGCTGGTGTCTATTCTGCAGTTAGTAGCAATTAATATTAATAATTATATCTTAACACTTCAATTTTATGTTTAATATGTCACATAGATAAAAAAAATATATATTACGTTAGTGGAGGCGGTTGTAGCGCTGGCGCGAACACAGGCGGTGGCCTCGGAGGTGGAGCTCCTGTAATGACAATACACTATTATTATCAGAATAGGGGCCAGCCGTAAATTACACACCATTAATTTGAGCTATTTTTACCCCCACATACTGCTATGCATATTGTAAGTTGAATGATATTTTAATTGTACGGTGCAATTGGTTTGAATCGATTTTAAGCATATGATATGCATACTCCACAAAGTCCCCGTTTCAATCATTCATAATATTGAAAAATGTATTACAGTCGACCCTCCATATAACGCGGTACTCTAAGAACGCGGTTTCCATATAACGCGGAGCTGAAAAGCGAGCCCTACGCGGTTTCCGTTCAAAAGCATCCCATAAGTTCATTTCGAGCAGCCTATGAATGACTCTAGTAAAAATCAAAAACTAATGTGAAGATGAACCAAGTGAGGAAGACATTTTGCCCTTTTAACACGTTAAAGACCGCATGCCTACCGGTGGGGCACTTCGCAACGAAAGTACCTACTTTACACGTTGGGACCGGTTGATCACCCGTGGGCACTTCAATTGAAATAAATCATAAACAGCTAGGATGAATGTTGAAATATTACATATTCTTTTTTTCTTAAACAGACTTAGTTTAATTTTTGTTCCATTTCTTTTATACTACTTATAACTCTTCATTTCAATAAAAATAATTTACAATTTATCTTCTTTTTTATTTATTGGTCTCCATATAACGCGGTACGAATGATGTGATTTGCACTAATTCCGAGTTTCTTATAGCGCGGTTTCCATACAACGCAATACGCACTCACCGCGTTATAGGAGGGTTGACTGTATTAGAATTTCGTTCTTAACTTTTTTCTTTTATCTGTTTTATTTAAAACGAATTCGGCTCGTTGTCAACAGAAAAAAATAGTAAAACGTAAGTAATAGCCCTGTATATAGTTACACATGTTTCCCCGTTTTCAGATCGCTCAGCTGTTTAGTTTTAGTTAATTTTTGTGGCTAAACAACAGCAAAATAAATAAAGAGGACCTGTTTTGTGCAGAATTTTTTTCTCTACAACTTTCATTTAAAACATTATTTCATATTTCTTACCATTATCGAGTAATTTAAAAAAAAAACGCGTATTATAATTCTTTTTTCGAATTTATTCATTCTTTAAGTATTTGCGGACTTATTTTTATATATTGCGCCAAAACTGGTCACATCATCTTTAACTTTAAATTTTACTAGACTAATGGTGAGATTAATGACATTGCGTTGAATGGAAGGGCAATGCTATAGTGATATACGTGAAATTACATATGTTACTGGTAATGATGAAATAAATATTTTAATTTTGCATTTCCAGGAACTAACTTAAAAATTAGCGCATTAAATTGTGATTAAGCTGTATACTAATTATATGCTTTATAGTATAGATGATAGCGACAGCCCACTAATTCGATGGATTTGATCGATAGTTCTTTTTCCGAAAAAGAGTAATTCTATGAAAAAAGAGATCAGTGGCTCCCAATATTGGGTATTGTAATTGAAGAATGCGCGGTGAATGATATCGTATTTCATAATAATTCCACACAAAACATTACTCAGAACTTGTAGAATGTTTATACAACTTCAAAAACAATTTAATAAAAAACCTAAACTTAATTATTGCGATCGTTTAATTACGGGAATACTATTAAAGGTAACAAGTAAAATAAGTTTTACCTTATTGTACTAGAAGCACTGGTGCTTTGTTTAAAACATCTACTATGACACAGAGGGTAGATATGTTGTTCACATATTTTGAAGTATTTTAATCTGCAAGTTTTGTTTCTTAAAGTTAGTTCACACAAATAGTCTGTGGAGACTATTTTTCTGAGCTAAGTTTAGGAAACAAAATTTGCAGAGGTGAATAACGAAAATACTGTTAGAAATTTTCAATTTAATATACAGTTATATTCTAAAATATTTATCAGACCTTAAATAAAATTATTCTTGTATGTATCACATATATCAACATATAAGTGGATCAATAAAAAAACTGAAAGTTTAGGGGATACTAACCACCACCAGCAATCCGATTTTTTCAGATCGACGCCTAGCGCCTGCGCAGGCGCAATATGGTAGCTCATAGAACAGTCCGAGTTAGGAAGGAACAATTTTCTAATGTGGGTAGATGCATCTGTATTTAAGATTATCTTAGCTGTGCTTTAGACAAAGACATCAAGAGCATCTCGCTACAACATTTACTTTCATAGCTTTTACTATACGATATAGTAGTTTTATTATGGGGATATGCAAAGTGTCTTTATCTTAAAAAATGCTGTTTGTGCAATCTCGTGTAAAGGAACTCGTGATTATACATTAATTTAAAAAATTTAAAGAAGCAAATACGCTCACAGTAGCTTCTCAACACATATATATTGATATTATTGTGTAAATACAAATTTATTTTCATGTTTCTTTCTTGAAATATAAATTCCCTGTCCCCAAATTTTGTTTATATAAAGTTAATAGGTATTTGATGGAAAGATTCTACAAACATGATAACAAAAGATATTTATATACACTGTTCGAATGTTATGTATTTTCTATTTAACTGATTAAAAAGGATAATAAATAATTGTACTAGTTTTATTACTGGCCAGTTCTCAAACAACACAGATACTGATAATCAACGAACTAGCATATGTAGGATACAAGCATCCTATATAAATAAACAACTATGATGTGATATAACAAGCTACATCTGTATGTAAGCTTCATTAAAAATTTGTACATTAATGTAATCAATGTATATGAAGGTTATAAAAAGAGCAGAAAAAAAAAATTCTACTTTATATTCTGCAATCAGTCCTTTGAATATCCCCAGATGAGGTGTACTATGTACCATGTAAGCCTGGTGTTTCAGTTGTCCATAGGCACTGGTTACCATTTACCATCAGATGGGCCATATGCTTGATTGCCACCATAGTAGTATAAAAAAGACTATTTAAGTTAGTTAGTCATAGCAGTATCATGGAATATAATCAAATTTTTTTGCTTAAGTTTGATGATAAAATGGAAGTTGTGTATTAATTATTTTATTGTACAGTAAATAATCATCACTGAGCACATGCTTAGTACATATGCAATGTACATAATTGCTGCTTCATTGTATAGCTAGTTTACTATATTAATAATATATAGTAAACTAACTATGTAACTATGCCACTCCTTATCAATTGGATCTATATACTGAACAGGACAGTAGGGAAAAAATTATACGATAAATTTACATTCTACATGAATACATTATTCTTTTATTTTGAATATTTTAATATAAGTTGAAACCAGCAGATAGAAATTTCACAATCATACATTCATGCTTGATTCATAGCAACAAAATATAATCAATTTATTGATAAAAAAAAACAAATCCATTATAGCTGGCTGTAGAAGAAAATCAATGTTCAACAACAAATCCTTTTCCGGCCAACTGATTTCTCAGGACTAGAATGCTTTATATTTTAAACTAGCTGTACATATGACTTCTTCCACTTGGAATTTTACTTTCTTTTTCTAAAATAAAAGCCTAAGTTGCTCCTTATTACAGCAGTTACCTGCCAAAAAAGTCCCGTCAAAATCAGTCCAGCCATTTCAGAGATTAGCCGGAACAGACAGACAGACAGACAAAAATTGCAACTAGTATGTTGTTTTGGTGTATGTACTGTATTTATATTAATATGCATGTAGTAAAAAATGGTTAGTTCAATATTTACAAACAGACACTCCAATTTTATTAAGATGTATATATTATACTTTACATTTAGAAGTCTCTGATTTTTTAAATAATTTATTTAATATAGTATGTGAACTGATAATAATTAACCATATACTTTCATGCAAGATGCCAAAAAAATCACTAAGATTAAGATTAAATCACCAGTTTATAAACAGATGGTTCACACCAATATTTTATTAGGATATATTATGTTTTTTATGAAAAAAAAAACACATATATTTCTTATGGCTGAAAGTTTGTTTCCTCACAATCCAACAGAACATGGCTTTTGAACAAGAATTATGAATTAATGAATCAACTACAGTCTGTTTTTTAATCCCAGAGACAAACTTGTCATTACCTATGTAGGTAGTTTTTTGCAATTTTATAAGTTGAAATTAAAAATTAATGATAAATAATGTGTGGGTAGCTATTAATTAAAGCATATAAATACAAAATTTATAAAGTATAATTATTGTTAATTACAAGGTTGTTGTATCAATATTAATGATATATATCATTTTTTCCATTAATTTTTATTAAAATAAAGACTAATCTTTTTTATAAAACAAATGAGGAAGCTCATTTGTTTTATAAAAAAGATTAGTCATGATGTCATATTTCATAAGATTTATTTAAAATATTTCACGGTCTGAAAGTAATAAATTGTCCCTTCATAGCTAATAATACTATAGAAATCACTGTATGTATGAAAACCACAAAAATATTTTTTTTTGTTGTATAATACAATGATAGTAATAGAGACACTAGTATATGTACATAAATTTGAAAATATATTGTAGAAACATATAATGCTTTCATTCTATTCAAAATAAAAACTTATGATTAAACAAATTGGTAAAGCAGGTAATACAGAACTACCCCCCTACAGTTGGTAACATTATTTGAAAAATTTACAACTGCCAATTTATTCTCTGATATTAAAAAACAAACTACAGCATCATCCGAGTTAAATTAATTATTGATTGATAGAATGTATATGTTTATTTCATGAAATTTCCACCCGACAAGACAAAGATATAGTGGTCACAAATTTTCTTTCAAAAAACTCTTTCCATGTCTTTATACTTTTATTTTTGGAAATTCTTCGCAACTCTGTCCATTATCAGGTAGTGAACAGGAAACCAACTATTTGACCCTACATAAACTACATTCAGTAGCCATTTGCAAAATTTATTTTTATTGTCCTTTGTTTAATTATGCGCAATAAAGAGTAAATATTCAGTCTCTATTCTTAAAATGATCATGATTCATCAATAAAATTATTTTATACTCACCAGGGTAAGCTGATGACATGGATTCAGGTGGTGGCGGGGGTGGCGGCGGCGGCGGGGCCAGCTGCGTCATTGGAAGTATGTATTGCCTGGTCGGGACTTCGGTCGTGGGCGGCGGTGGTGGCGGAGGAGGAGGCGCCAGCGAATGAGCCGTGTGAGGCACATATGCCGGCACATGTTTCCTAATAAACTCCTTGGAATTTTCTGTATACATGCTGGCAGCAGCATGGATAGCAGAATGACGTTCCGCCAGGACCCTGGGCATTTGACCAGTTTTAAGAAACAGGTCTTCTTCTTCGCTAGTCGTATGAAGATATGTACAATTCGCTCTCGTGCATCCAGTCGGATTTTGGTAATCGTGGCAGAATTGTAATATTGTTTTCATATCCTCCACGCTGCATTCATGACTAAACTTGCATAGGGAATACTTATAGCATTTACCCCACACATAATCCCTACAAACTTTACTTTGGTTCTCATTTGATCGCCTTAATGGCGGCTGTCCGCCATTTTGTTGAATATTTTGATTCATGAACGGCGATAAATAATCAATGCCTGGAAATTACACACCTGTTTTAGAATATTCACTTACAATTTATATTTCTCGTTATAGTAATATAAAAATATTAGGTATAATATGTAAGTAACTATCGACAAATGAGACTAGTTGGCATGTAAACATAATCGTAAAAATAGCATTTCATGGATATAATTATAAGGAGAAAAAAGAAATGACATTACCGCACACCACACACACACACACACACCACTTTTAATAATTTAATACAAATAGAAAACAAATAATTGAAATAATGACAACATGTCAATATAACACACGTAATGGAGACGACACAATGAACTAGACTAGATGTACATTAACAAGACCCTATTCGCAGACAGGAAGAACTTCAGGTCGGATAGTGCGTCCCGAGCGGTATTGCCATATTACATTTTTTTTTTTTAGTGACTTGGCACATTTGTGAATGCAAAGACAAAATCATATTATATAGTACAAATCGACAAAAACTAGACTCTTGACACCAGTACATAGAGAGCCAACTGTTGGAATAAATCCATTAGAAAAATGTGTAGAGGGCCAGTTGGGCTAACTTTAAGAGTTAGCATAGTGTTGGCTGGATTCTGAATACCACCATCGTTGTATAAGATATTACTCTATGGTTAAAGCTGATATATAAGTAAGTTTAATTAATTAATATATTATATAAATAAAAATACAGTGTTTTGCACATTTAATACACGGATTCAACGAAATTCGTTAATTTTCTACTACTAAACAAAAATATATTTTCGCAGTTTCCGTACATTTAGTCATGTTTACAGTATCAAGTATTAATAATAGTATTGTTATTAGTTAGTTTAGTATCAGTATTTATTAATATTACAAATCAACAATTTATTTGAAAAAATAGTAAAGTAAAATATTTATATTCAAGTAAGCTATATTAAATCTTCTTTAGTTTGGAGTACTTTTTTGAGCTAATAAGAATTATCAAGAAACTAAGCTCCGTTAGTTTAACTTTAAATCCTTTCGTGCCCTACAAAAGGGTAAATGATTTGGAAATTACATCAAAGAACTGACGCGGCTGTATAGGTTTATACTCTTTGCCTTTCCGATTAGGATAAATAAAACCAAAACTGTCAGTTAGACATTGACACTTGACAATAGAATTGCATTTACGTAAAATTTTCAGTCCACAGAACACTATAGCAGTCAGAAAATCTGAACATTGATATTGGTCATAATTACTTAGAATAGTCACACACTACAATAGTCTTTTTTAGAATATTTCGCAAGTAATTTGTGATTTATGTGTTCTGTGTTATAATATATAAAGTTATATACTTTATTAAAACTTTCACTTTTCATACTTTATTGTGATAATTTATATATAATTTTATTGTACCTTTACTTAACCTTGGTAGTGTGTTTGTTAATCAGAAAACAAACTGAAAATGACCAAGTATGTATACTAAATTATTAATGTTCTCTACAAAGAATATTCATACAAACTTAAGAGTTGTTTATAGTAAATACTTATTGACATGTATTTGAGTTTTTTAAATAGACTTAATTGATTGTATATATCTGTAACAGAGATATGTAATAATATTAAAAATAGATAAGCCCTGTTTTTAATATTAAATATCTCTTTAGTTCTATTAATTAATAGTTAACATCAAGTATAAATTTAAAGTTATTTACATTCAAGTTTAATTCTAGTTATGCTAATTTAAGTAGGACATAATAATTAGCAATCAGAATTTTTGTATTCTGAGAGTTTATTACAGTCAGTCTTAAGTTTCATTATTTAACATTAGATTAAGAGTAAAAAAATATTATTTTGAACATATTTGTTTTATAATATATATATAGGATAACAAAAAAGAACAATATGTAAAAATTTAAGTTGGTAAACACTAAATTACCATTTTCAATAATAATATGCTAAGTTTAGAAAAATATGAACTCATAATATATAATAAACTGAGTTTTATTTAACAACTCATTTTAGTAGATGAATTATTTGAAACTCATGATGTGAAAATGATCATGCTATGAGTTGTGTTATAATTTCTTATTGTTAACATATGTGAACATTTTAATTTTAGCCAAAATGCAGATATTGCCCTTATTGGCTTGGCTGTCATGGGTCAGAATATTATACTCAATATGGATGACCACAATTTTGTGGTATGTGCATATAACAGAACTGTGGCTAAGGTATTTATTTTTATATTTTGTTTCATATTGTATATTAATATATTTCTGAAGTAAACTTCATAATAAGCCAAGCAGTGTACTGGTTTTATTATATGAAAGAAGTTTATAAAGTTATATGAAAACATTACAGTAATAATAACTAGATAAATAAGTATAATGTTAGTAGCACAATTTTCGAAAGTCATAATAGTTCCTATCTAAACTAACGGAGTTATGCAGTCCAATTGTTATAAACAAAGACTACCTTAATCACAGAAATAAATATTAGTTTTGAATAAAAATCTTAATTTGTATGAATAAAAATTGTTATTAGTTAAAGACATTCCCTTCTTGAAGGTCACCTACATTACTTGAAGATGACCTTTATTACTTGAAGGTGATTAACTAATAATGATGTTTGAGAAATGAAACTGAGAAAATGAGAGTATAAAACTATGAACTACTTTGTATTTAAACCTAACTCTGTTTTAAGGTTGAACAATTTCTTAATAATGAAGCTAAAGGAACCAAGATTATTGGCGCGAATTCTCTGGAAGACATGATTAGTAAATTAAAGAAGCCAAGGAAAATCATGTTGTTAGTTAAAGGTGAGATTGTTAATAACAATACATATAATAGTATTTAAAAACTATTAAATAACTTTAATTTTTTATTGTTGTAAATTTTATGAGTAATCTTATAATGAATACTGCCACATCATAACTGTTTGTTTTAATATAATTGATTATGTTTGTGACTGGAGCTGGAACACAATGACTATTGTAATAAAAATCTTTACTAATAGTTAAATATGTATATTTCCCAAAAGGGCTCACAGCTAAGAGGTAACAAGAAGTTAAAGATGTCATATAAAAACATATATCAAACACACAAGATTTATAGAAAGTATGCTAGACAAGTTGCCAGCAACAAGGTCTTTATAAAAATTAAACAAAATTATTGTTACTTACAGCTGGTTTTGCAGTTGATGAGTTTGTGAAAAATCTAATACCACTTCTTGACAAAGGCGACATTATCATTGATGGTGGAAATTCACAGTATTTAGATACCCAACGCTGGTGCAAAGAGTTGGAACCCATTGGCATCCATTATGTTGGAATGGGAGTAAGTTGACATTTAATTGTTTATTAAAATATTGTAAATGTCCTTTCAATACACTTGTTACAAATTGTTTTGTACACTTAAATTGTGGAATGAACTATCAGCTGAGATCTAGAGATTACATTATGGGGTTTTTTCAAGATTATATTAAGGTTTATTAATACCAACACCTTCGGACCTCTATAGGCAATGGTGATAGTTTATCATTAGATGGACCACCTTTCTATAAAAAAATTATCTTAATCTAAAACTTTAAAGCATTAATTCATAGAACATAATTTTATCTTGAATACTTCATATGTGCTCTTGGATTATATAGATTTTTAATTAAATAGGTTAGTGGTGGAGAAGATGGAGCGCGGTATGGTCCTTCATTGATGCCAGGCGGCCATGCTGCTGCTTGGCCGCATATCAAACCAATATTCCAGGTACCTATGTTAATTGTTAATTATATTATAGATAGATAGAATACTATATTCGCAACATACAATAAATGAGAGGCACAAACAATACAACAAAGGATGTTGTACAAGAAAGGTTGTTACAATAAGGCAGCAGTGCTCAATAGCATACTATAATAGTTTATTTATCATCATCAATCATTGCCTTGCCTTTATCCCATTATTTGGAGTCCGCACAGTATCCCTTCCTCCTCCACTGATCCCTATCGGCTGTCAAATCTGAGCATACTATCCTTTTATTCATATCATCTTTCACGCAATCCATTCTTTTTTCGCTCGTCTTCTCCCTTTCCAACCACCCACGTATATATTATACACTTTCCTAACAGTTTATATTATATAAAAAAAATAAACATTGCATGATTTTTTGTTCTAATAATGGATTATGACTTATTTCTTAGAAAAAAAGAAAAAATATTAATTTTTGTATAAAGTCTATCTCATTTGTAATATTAATTCAGGTCAGAAGGAATGCTATTATTTATTAGTTAATGTTTGTTAATGATTTTCTAATTAGATAGGATATTTAATAGTGTTTAAACGATGAAGTTTGAAAGTTACGCCAGTTATAGACGCGTTATAGTTACGCCTACGTTATGGGCATGTTATGCGGAGGAACGAGGGTCATGTCTTATGGAAAGTGTATAATATGAATGTGGATGGATGTAAAGGGAGGGGACGCCCTAAGAAAAGACATCCATCTCCATTGTGTGAATGATGATATGAATAAAAGAAGAGTATGAACAGATATGACGGCCGATAGAGAGCAGTGGAAGAGAATGATATACAGCGCCGACCCCAAATTATGGGATAAAGGCAATGCTATGATGTAATTAGTTATTTATATACGCAATTCAAATAGATCGTCTCTATTGTTGCTTTGGTTTAACTAAGATTGGTTTAACTATGATTTTGTGTATATACATTATAGTGTGAATGAGTACCATCTCCCCACTGTAGCTTTATGTATCACGTGATGAGTTGTGGCCGTTTAACTTATTTCTGTCCTGTACTGTCTTGTCAATTAGTAGACAGGTAAAGTATTTGTATGATACAACTATCAATTATAGTTTTATTTCTTGTGTTAAGTAACGAATACTAAACTCATTGAACTACTAACTGACTTATGCTAAATCTAAATTACAAGTAAACCTAAGTGACAGTAGTGTCAACAACCTTTAGTGCAGGCGGGAGCAACTTTCACTAATGATCTATTAAAAAAAACTAAAATAATATAAGTAGGTACATGTAAGCGCGTCATATATATTTTTTCATTATATTTAGGCAATAAGCGCAAAAGCTAATGACGAACCATGTTGTGACTGGGTCGGTGAAGATGGGGCCGGCCACTTCGTTAAGATGGTGCACAACGGTATCGAGTATGGAGACATGCAGCTCATCTGTGAAGCGTATCATTTAATGAAAGATGTTATAGGTATTATACTTATTAATTATTTGTAGCTACTTTTTATACTTTACCTCTCAGGATTAACAATTCTTAAAATGTGAATAGCTTCTTTGACAAATTCGCCTTTTTATGTGATATAAAACAATAATATAATATATATATAAATGATAAATGTTATACAATAAATATAATTGGACACAAAATCTTATTAATATTATAAACACGAAATTTTATGAGTATGTATGGATATTTTTTATATCAGAAAAAATATCTCTTTCACGAAAAAACTACAGAACGCATTTTCATGAAACTTTAATTAACAGTAATATAGCTTATACATCAGAATAACATATAGGCACGGCTAGTATATTATAATTGTACCTTTTTTTTTATTTAATATTCAAATTAGTCGATGATTTCATATAAAATAGTTGATGGATTGTATGATTTTGTTATATATTTAATTGTTTTATAAATTTTTTGGTGTAGGTATTGATCAAGATGAAATGGCTCGGGTGTTCGAACAGTGGAACCAGGGTGATCTGGATTCGTTCCTTATTGAGATTACTAGAGATATCTTAAAGTTCAAAGATGCTGATGGTGAGTCTCACATTAAATTTATCTATACCTTTTTATTTCCTAACACAATTTACAGAATATGTAATAGATATGTAGTAAATGTAAATGTAGATGTAGATAATAAACATTTGATTTATTATATTTGCGCCCTCATCAATAACTCTTTGCATCACCTATGGTTGACTGATAGAAAATGCAGCACGGTGTTAAGTCCGCCAAATAATAATAATAAAAATATAATAATCCCAGGACAATACACACAGCGCTATCTAGATCTAAGTTAATCTAGCTAACGCTTGTGTTATGGGTACTAGATAATTGATACAAATACATAGATTTTTTTTGTAAATACATACCTTATACATACCGATACAAACAATCATACTCATGAATACAAATGTTTGGGCCGTGCGAGGAATCGAACCCGCGACCATCGAAAGTAAGAAGTCAAATGTACGGCTACTGTACTATACTATGTATTGTGTGCATTAAAGTTAAATAAATAAATCCACATGTAATAGTTATATGGGCGACCGATATATTTAATATCAGATCTTTATATAAGATATATAATTTGAACTTTGAACTAATGTTGATACCACACCAAAACGTCAAAACCACTTGAAACCAATGTTATTGGATTAGTTTAGTTTTCTCAAGCAATCGGCTGGTTCAAACATGAATATAGAATAAAGCAAGAAACTTGTGTGTTGCTCTTTTAAATAATCCTTGTAAGTTCACGTTATACAAGTCGAAACATATGAATACAAACTACCAACCAGCACTAATTTATTAGGGTCAAATATAAAAACACAATAAAATTAAAACAGTCGTAGTCATAAGAGCAGATCAGTCCCTACAAGCAGCACTTGTTCACGAGTATGACGGATGAGCCAGCCATCACTGCGCTCGACCATATTTTAGGGAGCCCAATGACCCGGCCCACCACGCCGCCACATGTCTATACATTTCAGTGAGCATGACTACCTCATTTTACTCGACCATGTCATAGCTGCTTAAAATACTATATGTTAGTAGAGTAGAAACAAATAATGATAATAATTTTTACTATATCGTAGGCAAGTACCTGTTGCCCAAGATCCGTGACTCGGCCGGACAGAAGGGCACTGGAAAATGGACAGGAATTGCGGCGCTCGAGTACGGAGTGCCAGTTACACTTATAGGCGAGGCCGTATTTGCGCGATGCCTTTCAGCTCTCAAAGGTGAAATTTATTTATAATTTTACTAGCTGACCCCGCGAACTTTGTTTAGCCATATAAATTGACATCGCTATTAAAAAGTATTTTTGGATTTATGCTAGATGGGTGAAAATTTAAGGTTCTATGTATTTTAACACCCCTAACTTGTTTTCTATTTTTCTTTTTAAATGTGGTATACATTATTTAAAAAATTGTAAGGTTCTATGTATTTTTTAACAACCCTAACTTTTTTTTTATTTTTCTTTTTAAATGTAGTATACATTATTTAAAAAATTGTAAGGTTCTATGTATTTTTTAACAACCCTAACTTTTTTTTTATTTTTCTTTTTAAATGTGGTATACATTATTTAAAAAATTGTAAGGTTCTATGTATTTTTTAACCACCCTAACTTTTTTTTTATTTTCTTTTTAAATGTGGTATACATTATTGAAAAAATTGTCCATTTATATGACAAAGCAAACCCTTATTACTTGGAAGTATGATAGATAGTAGCTGATTCTCAGAGCTACTGAATCTGAATATAAAATTTCATAAAAATCGGAATCAAGCCGTTTTGGAGGAGTATGGTAACTACCATTGTAACACGAGAATTTTATATATACAATCTGTAGGTTATTTGATTTTCTTCCTTTATACTGAGCGCAGTATTGATATGTCAGTCAAATAAAAAATCATTTATTAATGTAGGACATTTCAGCCGCTTATGAACATCAAGTTTTTTGTATTATAATTTTTTCACTACCGTCCAGTTCAGCATACAGATTCAATTGAGAACAACTAGTAAGAAATCAACTGAATTTCCTTTTTTTTTTTTAAACCAGTTTATTACGAGATAAATCAAATTATTTTCGCAATTAAATTTGACTTGATTTACATTGCGTACTTATAAAGGTGTCTGTACCGAACATTAAATGAAAACCCCGTGCATTAACAATTATTACCATGCATGCTCGTCATTTAAACAATGTTAACATGTATGTTACATATATATGTTAATTTATCGCTTCAGATGAGCGCATAGAAGCGAACAAGGTTTTGCCGGGTTCATCACAGAAATTCACAGGAAATAAAAATGAGTTTCTGGATCATCTACGTAAAGCTCTGTATGCCAGCAAGCTGATATCCTACGCCCAAGGTTTTATGCTGCTTCGTGAAGCTGCAAAGGTGCGTAGAGCACATACCTAGTATCATAACATTCTATAACACATGAATGAAATCGGAAGAACAATATAAGTGCTTAAATAGACTATTTCTTATTAGCCGTACCCGCGACTTCGTCCACGTGGAATAGTTACCTTAAATAGCGTAAAATATTTAATAATCTAACCCAAAAACCCAAAGAATAGAATGTCAGCGTTCTAGTTTCTAAAATGACGAAATTCCATACAAATTTTCATCCCCTATTTTATTTTATCCCCTTAAGAGTAAAAGTTTTACAAACTTTGAATGTCATGTTAAATTACATTTAACAGCCTAAAACATGTTTAAAAATAACAATAATTCCATACAATCTTTCATCTCCTTTTTTAGAATTAAAAAGTAGCCTACGTTTTTTCTCAGAGTCTAGACTATCTGCGTACAAAATTTAACTTAAAACGATCCAGTAGTTTTGGCGTGAAAGCTCTGACTGTCGCGCTTTCACGTTTATAATATTAATTAATAAGGAAGTAAGGATAATCATAGATGTTTCTATCAATAAGCTTGCACTAATCACCTAAAATTGGAACACTGAAATAGTAATTTTTAACAGTTCAAAAAAAGGTTTTAATTAATATCTGCTATTGATAAAATGATATAATAACTATTTTATTAAAATATAAAATCTGAATTATATATTTTAAAGAAAGTAAAAAATTTGTTAATAATTTTAATACTATTAAAATGACATTATGTATTTATAAAAATTGACAGGCGAACAAATGGAATCTGAATTACGGCAGCATTGCGTTGATGTGGCGAGGCGGCTGTATCATTCGCAGTGTGTTCTTAGGCAATATCAAGGTGAGTGAGAATCACGTGCTGGCCTCCAACGAGGCCGCCGCGCCCCTTTGACCTTTATAGTTGTATAATGTTTTATTATCATGCACTGATCTGACTGACTTTCAAATGCACGATGGATAAGATAAAAATATACCATTCCCCTTCATAATTTTTATAATTGTACATAAATACTTTTTTTTTTTTACAATTCACACAGCACCATCATGTCCCAGCATATAACATTAATATTATTAATATAGCAATAAAACATACAACTACTAAAGTTCTATGTTTTATTATCATGCACTGCTTTCAAATGCATGATGGAAAAGATAAAAATATACCATTCCCCTTCATAATTTTCATAATTGTACATTGTTTTTGGCAATTCTCACAGCGCCATCTAGTCCTAACCTAAGCAGAGCTAGTATTATGGGTACTAGACAACTATGTATACATAGTTTTTTTTAAATACGTACAGAATATGCATAGAAAATAAATTTACATCATAAACTTACATATAATTCAGTAAATCTTTCACATTGTAATGCATTAATAAAGGAAAAAAGGATTGTTAGTAATGTATGTATATATATAGTAGCACTTCCATAAGAAAAACAAAATACAAGTGAATTATTTGTAAATATAATTGCTACTGTTAATATTAATTATAAAGTAAGGAAAAAAGGTTTCTTTAGTTAATGAATTCCATATTAATGTGATACTAGGTACTAGGTACATATATGTCTAATAATTAGCAATTACTCACATACTTACATAATTAAATAACCACATCTTTTAAAGATATAATATATAATATAAACATCGCTTTTCTATACCTTATATATTGGAACACCTATTGTATATTGACGGCCGCCGCCTTACTTCTGATGGTCGCGGGTTCGATTCCTCGCACGGCACAAACAATCATACGCATGAGTATGATTGTTTGTGTCGGTCTGGCTGTTTTCTATGTATCATGTTTATGTATTTACGAATAAAAACTATGTACTTGTACCAGTTATCTAGAACCCATAACACAAGCTTTAGCTAGCTTGACTCTTGGCTAGATGGCATCGTGTGAATTATCCTGAGATTACTATTAATATTATATATATTATTGGTATGAAGTTAATTCATATCAGTACATATTTGCATAAATAATATGTAAATTGCCATACAAAATAAATATAAAGCATGTATGTGTTTGAAAGTAACTCAAACAGCAAAGTCCAGATAAAAATATATATGTATATTTTCATAAGAGACTTGGGGTTTTCATAAGAGAATATCTGTTTTTTATGGATGTTGTAATGATGCACCCGCCTGCGCTAACGGTTTACGCTGCCGGGGCACCAGTGGATTATGGTAAAATGAGCATGAAGTGAGCTTAGTTAATCCATAATGACAAATTCACCAGGATGGATGACGTGGTACATTGTTAGCAATGAGGTTATTAATCCATTATATATGGGATATTATGGTATATTGGTAGTACCAATACCCCACAGGGGGGAAAAGGGTTTGTTAGTAATGTGGACTGATGATTTTATTAAATTATAAAATTCGTGGTGAATTTTTCACGATCTGCTAACTGACCTGACCTCATGCTCATCTTATCATCCTCCACTGGTGCCCCGCCAGCGTAAAGCGTTAGCATAGGCGGGTGCACCATTCCATTATCGTCAATAAAACAATCTTTACCCTACACCCCGGGGTTCTGTTATTAGGAAGCATTCACGAAGAATCCTCAACTGACGAATTTGCTGTTGGATCCATACTTTTGTGAGCGAATCAGCGCTTCGCAGTCGTCGTTGCGGCAGGTGGTAGCTCAAGCAGCGCTAGTCGGCGTGCCCACACCAGCTTTCTCATCAGCCCTCGCGTTTTACGACGGCTACCGTTCAGACGTGCTGCCGGCTAATCTATTGCAGGTAACTTGAGTTTCTTTTTAAGGGGTGATAATGGAATGGTGTACTGGCTTACGCCAACATTAAGCTTGCAGGCACCTGTGAAGGATAAGACAAGTATGAGGTCAGGTCAGTTAGGCCATCTTTGCAAATTTAACATTATGGTTTCCAGGGAGAAACGAGTGTAGGCAACCTGATTAGCAAAGCAAAAGACCATGCTAGCAATGGGGTTATTTACATTACTGACAATATATATATATATATATGTATAGGTAATATAGTAGTCACATTGCTGGGTATACGCTGGGGGAAGGTGATTGTTAGTAATGCGGACTCATTACCCCCTTACTAGTAATGTACCATGTCAGGTTGACCTCCACGCGGTTCCCCCTGGAAACCATCGTGATAAATTCCTGGTGAATTTGTCACAATGGGCTAACTGGCCTGACCTCACATTCATCTTATCATCCTCCACTGGTGCCCCGCCAGCGTAAACCGTTAGCGCAGGCGAGTGTACCATTCCACTATCATTCACAAAAAAAAACGGTATACGCTGGCGGGTCACCAGTGGAAAATGATAAGATATATGAGATCAGGTCAGTTAGCCCGTCCATTGCATTAGTTCCAGGAGGAAACAGCGTGGAGATCAACCTGACATGGTACATTTCTAGCAATTAGGTTATTCACAATACTAACAAACCCCTTCCCCCCACTTCAGTTAAAGTTACAATATGATAAGGGGAATATATAGTAGCATTACTGGGAATAGGTACCAGTACCAGTACCAGGTAGGACACCAGACGAGTATGATGTTAGGTCAGCCCATCCGTACTGGGGGCCCAACTGAAAATCAGCGCTAGAAACTATTTCCAGCATTATGCTGAGTTGTGGTCCACATTGACTCCGTTTTTTAATGTGTAAATTATTCTTGTATTTCTTATGTTATTACTGTAAAAACGAGTTAATAAAAATTCTATTCTATTCTATTCTATTCCATCGTGGCATATTCACCAGGAATTTTTCACGATGGTTTCCAGAGGGAACCACGTGGAGTTCAATTTGATATGGTACATTGTTAGCAATAGGATTATTAGTCCACATTACTAACGACCCCCTTCCCAAACGCAATTCCATGTTTGTTCATTATAAAATTAAAAGCATTTTATTTCACATGGATCTGCAGCTTGCATGTCTTGAATGATATATTTTTTTATGGATGATAATGGAATGGCGAACCCGTCTGCGCTAACGGTTTTCGCTGCGGGGCAACAGTAGAGGATGATAAGATGAACATGAAGTCAGGTCAGTTAGCCCATCGTGACGAATTCACCAAGAATTTATCACGATGGTTTCCAGGAAGAACCGCGTGGAGGTCAACCTGACATGGTGTATTATTACTAGCTAGCTAATCATGGGGTCATTAGTCCACATTACTAACAATCCACACCCCCTTGAACAACACACTCCTCTTGAATGATATTGTCATGAGATGGGACATATTGAATATAGATATTGTTGCAATAAACTATATTGTTTAGTGTGTACGTAACACGCAGCCCTGGATGTAAGGGGGTTGCGGGGAGTGAGGGGGCAACAAAGGGCCCCTGCCTCGAGCGGCAAATTTTTGGGGCCGGTAAATTCGAACTTTGCAGACGAATACACTCTCATCATTATTGCATCTTTAACAATTCGACCACTGAGACGTCAAGTAAATTGTTTGGATTCAATGTATTTGAAAATGCCATAATAATTAATATTAATTAGACAAATTGTATGTGAATATGTATACATATTGTAAAAATATTGGCTGGAGGCGGAGGGCAGTCCTTACGGTGCGGCATTTCTTACTTTTTTTGTTTGTGATGCCTCGAAAAAAATTTAGATCTGGGGTAACACGATATCGCCGTCACTTAATTATTTTTTTCTTATATGACGCTTTATTTTCCTATACCTACTAGTTTTGTAACAGTAGATGCAGGATTTCTTTATAGAACAAAATTATAGATTAATAAAATTTATTTGATAATGTTACAGGCGCAAAGAGATTACTTCGGCGCCCACACGTATGAGCTAGTGAATAAACCGGGCGAGTACGTGCATACCAATTGGACCGGCCACGGCGGTAATGTCTCGGCATCCACCTACAACAACTAAAACTATATATATATATATATATATATATATATACAGTGAAACCTGGTTAATTGGGTTATCTCAAGCAGGGATATTATGGATATGATACTTCGGATACGGATAGATTTCGGATATAGGAGTGATTATTATACCGGATACGGTTACGGATGCGGATATGATATGAAATTATTTCGGATTATCCGTTAGTTTCGGATAATTTCGATTATGGATATTATTTTATTAAGGAATTTCAAAAGTAAAATACAAATAGGTAATTAAATGGTTACATAATGTGTCCCAATTAGGCTCCGCCCTTATCCGATATTATCAGTAACTTTTATTTCGGATTCGGTTACGGTTACGGAGCTCCCTAACATCCCTGATCTCAAGAGACCAATATATATGTACCAATTATTAAGGGTTTCCATTAGGTTTGAAATTGTAGTAGTCTCATTTACAGAGGCTTTGCTTATAGAGGTCGAAATATACCATTATTCTATTTTTAGAGGTGGAAAAACCTGAGATAGTTCTGACAACAAAGCATGTGCTTCATTAAATGTTACAAACATTAACAAACGTGTCAAAACCTGTCCCGATCTGATTTATCTCACTTATTCAGGGAAATGAGCAGTCCCAGTTATGGAGGTAAACATTGAAAAAATCGTAGAATTAAAATCCACCCGCTTCGAAAAGTCTCAATAACATAGGTAATTCAACATAAATGTACTGGGACCTCATTGAAACTCTTCATAATAGAGGTATCTCACTTATCCAGGTCCCACTTAACCAGATTTCACTGTATCTACTAAGAAAATGAATACCAGACTTACATGAATACATATGATTGTGTAGAAGAGGAACTTCACCAGGTACCATCTTAATATGACTCAATATGCTGAACTACACCATACTACCCACTAACTCTATATTCACTGCTCCTTGCGGGATAGCCTGAGAGAGAATTATGATAACATGATAACATCTACATGGCATGAATTTATATATAGAGATAAGCAGTATAAAGAAATTATCCAATATTACAGTCTATTGTGATATTAGTTAGGAAGATTATTCTTATTTAAAAAAAAATTATATACATTATTTTTATTTACATTCCTGCTATTATATTATAGTTACTAAGTGGACAAATATATATATATATTTTGTGATGTAACATTTTAAAAATACAATTTATTAATATATTAAATAAAAAAAATTTATTTTCATGGTGTTTTGTATACTTTTTTTTATAAAACATACTATATTTTATATCCTAAATTATTTCATATTTTGAATAAGAACAAAGTTAAATATATTATAAAGTTAGTTAAATACTGACAGTAAATAAATGTAGTTTAATTTAATCCGATACCAATTCTTTAGTTAACGTAATTAATTTGTAATGTTATGTTATTAATGACATTATGTCGCCCACATTACCATTTTCTATTAGATAGTATGCAGAGACAGGGCAGAGAGTTCTATTTGCTAGCCTAAATTCGAGTTATTTTTTGTCTCATGTTGGAATATCTTATTCAAGTCTATAATAATTTCCTAATGATTGCCAAAATGAAGGTTCTTAAAAAATAGTGCTATTTTAATAAATAGTGTCGCCAAGTCTCTTGGAAATTGGTTGTATTTGTACGATTCTACTTATTTTCATGTCTTTTCGCTAGTAAGTAAAATAGTACTTATATCCAAGTATTTTGACTCAACCTTAAATTAGTTTCACTATAGATTTTCAAACACTTTCCTTCAACTTCTAAATATAAGACAAAATTGTCCGTTTGGCTATCAGTTTGTTTGTCATTCCATTCACATATATTAAAATTAATTGGTATAAATATTATTATTATGTATTCTACTTTATAGTGACTAAGTTCTAGTCCATCGTGGTAAATACACCAGGAATTTATCACGATGGTTTCCAGGGGGAACCGCGTGGAGGTCAACCTGAAATGGTACATTGCTAGCAATATGGTCTTCAGTCCACAATACTAACAATTCGTTTAAATTTGTTCTTCTGAGGAGGATACGGTAATAGGTTTTATGTACATACTTGGTGTTGAAAGTGTACTTTTACATCTCAATTTTTTTATTATGCAAAAACAACTCTCCTTCTTTTAATTGAAATGGCTTCTACCAAATGAGGTCGAATATCGTAGTTGCAAGTGACATTTGTCAAATACTTGTAGATCGAAGACAATACACTGAAATATCAACTTGCTTCAAATTTATGAATAAAATTTCTTAGAATGATATAGTACAAAATCGGTTTACCAGAATTGATTCTATTTATTGACTAAAATGATTAAAAAAATTGTAATTTTGCATACCTGACTTCTTTTTGATGTCGGTACCATATCCTATTTAATTCTAATGTAAGCCTGTACTTATACATTATGTAGTTCATTTTGTATTTGTGAATTTAGTGTACGTGAATCATTAAATTATGATTAGTCGATTAAGTATAATAATAACTCTGGACAATTCAAACATTGCCATCTACTCTTCAGCTAAGCAGAACTTGTCTTATGGGTACTAAACAACTAATAGAAATACTTCCTTTTTGTGCAAATACATACATAGTATTCATACAAAACATCCAAACCAATGTAATTATATTCATGAATACAAATGTCTGTCCTGCGCGAGGAATCGATTATGCGAGCTTTGGAACTAAGTATGTAAGCTACAAGGCTAGACTACCAGTCAACATTGTGCAGTGCATTGCAGTGCAGATGCATTGTCAACTGTGGATGTTCCCAGAAAGCTTAACATACCTACATTTCGCTGAATATATATTCAAAATAATAGTTAATATTATTCATATCGAAACCACTACTGCTATCTTTACGATTAATTTGCTTTGTTATCGGTATTTCCAAAACAACGAAGACTCAGTCTGAAATATAAATTAATTTTAAATTACTATCAAGTTCAAACTCACAACTCATCAACCATGGTCCATGTTGCGGTACTAAATCCCTAGGTCACAACGCTCTATAATCGAGTCAAAACTGTGTATAACTCAGAAGGGGGCAGTGAGTCCACGCTCTCTACTATTCTTTTATAGCCTTTATTAGTAAATCAATCAAAAGTTGCAACTAGACTGTGTCTCATTCGTATATGACATCAATACAGCTCTATTGACAACTAAATTTTATTCTACAGGTTTATCTTCATGAATGAATATGTTATATGGACTAGTTTTAACTACATTACTTCTATTTATATGGGCCCCTTGTCTCAAGCAAGGCTTATGGGCAGTGCCTGGTCCAGTTTACGCGAAGGATAGAAATAATAGAATTTTTATGATAACTCCTACAGGACATTGTTGTGGGAGAAAATGTGAAAAAAAGTCACGATGCAGTAAATTATAGTATGTATTTTATTACATCATATGACATCAAATGGTATAAGACATTATTGATACACACTGAGATACAATGTCTTTATAAGGTATAACATCAATCGAAGTACTAAACATCTATAAAGAAATCTTTTCTTTGTGTACGCATACGTACAATTATGGCCGAATATTTTTCTACGGTGGATAGACAACAATACAACTTATATTACTAATTATATAGGCCCTTATCAAGCAATGCTTATGGGCTGCGCCTGAGCGTCTCTTACAGAAAATTACTGCGAGAAAAAATGTGAAAGTACATAGTCACGATGCATTTAATTATAGCATAATCGTATTCTATTACATCGAATAACATAACATTCATTATTAATAAACACCGAGTTACAATGATATTATTGGTATATTATCAATCGAAGTGCTAAACATCTGTGAACAAATCTCATATGTGGCACTATTATCGCCATATTCTTATTCTACGTTAGATAGACAAGAATACAACATATACTTCTATTTAGATGCGTCTCTTGTCGCAAGCATGGCTTATAGGCAATGCATGGTCCAGTGTACGCGAAGAATACAAATAAAAGAATTGTTATGATTACTCTTACAAGAATAGAAACGCGAACTAAAAAAGAAAGTTTGCATTAACTTATAGTAACATTATATTGAGTAATTATATAATTGATATGAGTTACAACGTTGTTGTTATAAGTATAGTATCAATCGAAATACTAAACATTTATAATTGAATATCTGTGCATGAATATGTGGCACGATTCTTGCCATACCTTATTCTAAGACATAATTATAAATAAGAATACAACATATACCTTGCAATTGCATCAAAATCTATTCTATTGTATACTACTATTTCCTGAGCTTTCACTCAACACATATAATTCTAACTTTGTAGCTCTCAAAAGAGTGTGTATTTTCCACTGAAAGTATGATGTAGTGATAGGCCGATGTGTACCTATGTACAGTACAATAGTCAAATCCAAATTTCATTCATAAAATTGATAATATGAAGACATACTTTGGGTAAACAATATTTCATGATCATACAACTTATTGTAGTACACTTACTACTGTAAGATTCTAATTTCCGGATATGGTTTGAATTACATTGTTACTATTTTTTCTCAATAACAATGCGTCATACATTAAAAAAAACACAAGGATAAATTAAATTAAATTTGTAAATATCAAAAATTGAAAAGCATTTCTTCAATAGACTTGCCCGATTTCCATGTATCAGCAGATACAGGTTTGTTTGATACTGGTTTCGTTTTCTTTGACTTTATATCAGAATGCCTGCGCTTTTTTGGTTTTTTTGTCACCACCTTCTCAGGTTCATTGGTATCATTATTAATTTTTTCTCCCTTCACATGCATTTTAGGCTTATTTTTCTTTCTCCTTTTACCATGCAAAGACGATCTTTCATTTTCTTTTAACCGTTGTGCAACAGCATTTGGAAGATCAAGGGATTTTTTGTAGTCTGCACCAAATAACGGATGACGACATTTGGTTTCTGGTAAAGGTATAGCATTTGTTTGAATTTCAGTCGGAGAAATATCATCCTGCATACGTCGTTTGGGAATTCTTTTACGAAAGTTTACAGTCCCACTGAGGGCAAGATTATTTATCACATTGTTTGGTTCCGGCGAACTCATCGTTATTCTATTTATATCCTCATCAATAAGTGCTTGGTAGGCGTCACTTCTCACTTTGACTTTACATTCGGAATCTAAACTTAGCTCATTCTCTGTCAGAGTCTTACCATCAACTTCATGTGGCCAATTAAGAAGCCATACTTCATCATCAATAGATACTGCAGAACTGTTTTGATTTACGCCTACAATGGGCTTAATGTTAGCGGCCTCCTTAAAACAATTCTTAAATGTTGTTAAAGAAGTGATAGTACTGTTTCGTGTACTTTGATGTGCCTCATTATTTGATCGATTATTGTCATCTTCGAATGTAAATCTTTCGGCAATAGTAAGATTCTGTTGGGAAATATTACGCGATACTACTTTCGAGATATTATTTTCTTTTAACTTAATAATAGTTGGTTTACAACTGGCAATATCCATATGAAAGTCATCAGTGGAACTTTCATCGCTATGTAAGGCCAGTGTATTTTCATTTTCAGCTTTTGTAATTTCAAAACTATTCATAAAGCTACTGCCCGGTGTAGTTTTACTATTATTGATATCATAGATTTCGGTATCATTCACATCAACATTCATTTTTTCGATTTTATCTCTCTTATTGTTAGACTTTTTATTTTTTTTATTGTTCTTTTTGTTGTTTTTTCCAAATGGGACTTCGTTACCTTTAATATTTACCGTGGCATCCATATCACTATTATTTTTCTTACGCTTCGATTTTTTTGAAGTCTTAGACAAGTTTTCACGTTCATTCTGAATATCATCAGAATTACATTTAGACTTAGTTTGTTTATTTACCTTTTGGGATTTGTTATTTTCTTGTTTAACTTTGGCATCCAAAAAACTGTCATCTGCTGAATTATAGTCCGAATGTATTGAAGAAATTTGTGACATTTCAACGTCATTTTGTCTCTTCCTATTTTGTTTATATATATCTGTATCACTACCAGATTCAAGTTTAATTCTTTTTTTCCATAAAATTTCTTCGCTGTCGCTATCAGGCTTATTGTTTTTCCTTTTAGTACTGTTTTGTTTAAGGTCAACATGTGGATTCCCATTTTTCTTTTTAGAAGAGTTATCAATTTTAGGGTCACCTTTCTTTTTCTTTGATTTTTCAGATGACTTAGGTAACTTCTCGTTTTCGCTCTGACTTGCTAATTCTTCTTTAACTCTAGTACTCAAATAACTTTCATCATCAGGATGTACTACAGTATGTGGAGCATTTTTATTTTTCTTCTTTTTCTTTTTGGAGTCTGTCTTGCTCCCAGGCTCCGTTTTTATTCCTATATTATTGGTGGTGTCAATATCATCACTATCCATAGCACAAGGTACACTTTTTATTTCAAATACATTATCAAGATTATATGGTAACGTATGAATTTGTATAGTTTTATTTGCATCTGGATGTTTCGGAATTTTCGTAAATTGATGTAAAATTCTGTGAACAATAAAATCAATTATTAATAATTTTAAAATGATTAAATTCTTAAAATTATTTATAACCGATATACAAGTACATAGATAGTACAAGTGTATCGGAATATATTCTACGACTAACAATTTAAACTTTAGGAAAGCACTAAATTTTTATAAATATTTAACTCACCTATCGTAACAAAAAAAAGCTGAAATAGAAAAGTTGTGAATAAACATGCTAATAAGGTACTATAATTAATGAATTTTTTATACTCGAATTGAAAATAACATAAGATGTGAGAAACTGACAACATTATTCTGCGTTAAAAAGAATTTCAATTTGTGTAACTTTCATTTTCAGGCTTCTAACAATTAAATAGTGATTGATTCCTCTAAAAAAATATTATTACTGCAAGTAACAAAGAAGGAATAAATTCCTATCAAAATAATAAATTATTTTGTGTAGTTTTCAGTCTATGAACAGATAGCATGAATCTATAAATACAGTAAAAATTAGTTAAACTTCTAAACATATTTAAAACGTGAAAAGCTATATGTAAGATACTTTGCAAGTCTCCGTATGAATGTATATGTAAAATGTCAAAATCAAAGTATAATACCTATTTCTTTTTATAATTGTCCACCCTTTAAAACTATATTATTTTTTATATAAAAGTATATTTTTATTTATATAAAAGTTACTGTCAATCTATGGATCTGATATATAAAGTTCTTGTGTTCTGGTGATTGGTGCGTGTTTGAAACGGCTCTCCCATTAATATATATTGTTTAAATTTTTGACAAATTTTTATTAATATTTAATTAACATTTTTGTTAACATTAAAAATACATGCAACTCTAAATGTTCACCCTTCTACCATCAACCCCTACTTTTTTAATATAGCCATTTTAATTTATATGACAAAAGAATGTGGGGTGAATTAGTAGTCAAATAAAAATATTATTTTATAATTTTTGATATAAGGTTATTTATTTTTAAATATTATTCCATATTTTAAAATAAATAACTTTGGCAGATTGTGAATATCAATTTTGATTCCATATCCACAACTTTAGTTCTATAAATTTTGATAATTCTTCTTATACATAAAATCTGCATTATAAAGTATCTTTCCACTTCATAAGTTAAACTAGTACCAGAGACTTAATTTTTCTAAAATAAAAGTTATTTTATCAGATACCTGCCAATAAAAGTCCCGTCAAATTCGGTGCAGGAATTTTAGAGATTAGCCGCATTAAACAGACAGACAAAATTTATATTCATATGCATGTAGTAAAAATTTCAATATTACAAACAGATACTCCAATTTTATTTATATGTATAGATATGAAAATTCAACAATGCGTAAACTAGATACTCACATGCTTCCATCAGAACTCTCTTCTACACCGGAATCTTTAGTCCACATGAAAGCGTCATCGGAAGAAGAGTCCATTCTCGTGACTTCCGATTTCTTCATCGTTACTGCACACGTTATATCATTCTACATGTAAGATACATATAAATTACTAAAGTTATTTCATACTATTATTATAAATTGACTGAGTATCTATGAGATGTCCCTCTAGTCCCTGGTATTACAAATTATTGAATGTGAGACATTTATATTTATATTCAATTATATCTTCTTTGGACTTTTAAGTTTCCATCACTTTTTGCCTCATAAAGCTGCAATAGCAGAATCTCTATATATATAGGTTCTGCATTTGCAGCTTAGAATAAAAATGTATAATGGCAAATGGAAAGCAAAAGATATGGTTCAAGGTACTACAAGTATAAATTTGCAATTCATGATGGAATTGTAATAACAAAAGCAAAAGCTAGAAGTTCCTACTCCTACCTACCTATCTACCTAGTCATTGACAAACAAAGTAAAGAGGTAATTAAAATTTATCACATATGTGCAAAATTAGACATGTCAGTTCTGAAACTGACATGTCTAATTTTAAACTTCTAAATCGGACCAAATGCAACCTCCATTGGACGTTTTTCAGACAAACCAGGTGATTTTATTTAAAAAATGCCTAATAATGAAAATAATGTCTAATATGAGCCGGTTACTATTAGTGTTTTTGTAAAACAATGACTGTCTAATACAATGTGAGTGATAATAGTTAACGATTTGCATTAGTAGAATCCAAAATTACTGTAAGCTGATGGTATTAGAGATGTAAGCAGAACAAATGGAACAGACAATTAAAAATATGTTAAGGTAATCAGCCATTGAACCACATCCAGTGAAACTCCTTCAGATTTTATATCAGCAGGGGATGAGGCGGTGGATCGTAAGAAATCACAAGAAGTTATCATTGATAATGATAAAAAGGATGTATTCTAACCATCATCATTTAAATGAACTGATATATTTGAGTATCAGGACCTAAAGACATACTATAGACATAGATAGGATGGGACAAAAAGCAAAACAAAAGAGCCTTGAGAAACAACTCCACTATTAATTATAACAACTAAAACCCGAATAATGACCAATGAAACCAAAAAAGAAGTACTAATTAAAGCAGGAGAGAACATACACTATATTTATCTTGGCCAACTCAGCTCTATAAATGACCAAATGCAACTGGTAGACATCAATGAATTACAACATCTCGGAAAAGATACCACTCACTGAAAAGTATAAGAAAATGACAATGTCCCATTTCTGAACAAAGATAAGTATGGAAGAACCTATCAACTAGCTACTATCACTAAGAAAAATATCTAAGAGCTTGTTATGTCAAAGGAGCATGTTGGTATCAGGACAGATGAAAACAGAGTTATAGACATAAGAGCTATTACTGGTTGGGATGAAGTTGCAGCTAACAATGAAAGGTTGAAGTAAAAGTGGTCAATTCAGATACTAAAGGGAAATATAAGAGGGACTATAACTGTAATTGAATTAATAAAGGCTATGAATCTCGATTTATCTTTGAATGAAAGTAGAAAATGTGATAGTAGAAGATATAAACCCATTTAAAAGTTTGTTACTCTTTTATGCAAGAACAGATTTTGATGAAAAATCACAGCTTATGCATCAGAATAACATATAGCCTATTTTTATGCTTAAAAATTAATATGGATGTTGATTGCTTGAAAATGGTTACCAAATGTATGGTCTTCATGATGTACGTAGCAATTTGAATGCTAAAGAAGCTGACTACCTGATGGCAAATGATATCTGCCTTGCACTCACTAACAGTTTACATTGGCAGAGTACCAATGGAAGATCATGAGATGAATATGAGGTCAGGTCAGTTAACCCATTGTGAGAAATTCATCAGGAATTTATCAAAATTGCTTGGAGGTCAATGTGACATTGTAGATTGCCAGCAATGGAGTCAATACTGCATATTACTGACAATCCCCTCCACCTGTCGTAACTGTTGTCCGTCTACATACATGAATACAGACATCACAATCACGTGTGGTTGTGAAGTCTGTCTCAAATAATTTATCATTTGAGACCTGAGATACCACATAGACATTGCCATTCCAGAGGCCTAAGAAATGAAGGCTCTTATTCCATCTTACAACCAAAATAAAACTTACAAAATGACTCAGTAAACAGATTTAAGACAAAGAATAACATATCCCTACAGAATTTGTTGGGGAATTCAACAGACATTAATGTCATTGAATGTGTCTGGAGACTGATGAAGAGTTAATGCAATAAGTCTTTATGACCACAGAAACAGCTTATTTAAGAAACTAAAATCACAACAAAGGGAGACAGAGGCTTTAATTGATTCTAAATAAAGATACTCCTATACAATATTGGAAAAAATCTATTTTCCCCTTCACTTCTTTGTCTCCAAAAGCAAATTATATTATAGATTTGTGAGTAAAAAATTGTATTATATTCACTTTCCGTAATCTCACGAATTATTAAATTAAACTTAAAACATTTTATTGTTAAATAAAATTTTTGACTCTAACAGAACTGATCGAGTGCAATGATCTACCGCGACTAATGATTTGCCCGGGGGCCATCCAGGGACCTAGACGGAACTATCGATTAATGAGCTAGCTGCACTATCCTACAGCGCATGTAATGGTACCTAGGTACCTAGGTACCTAGGTACATTTAATGTATATTGAAAGCGTGTTATTAATTTTCCAATTATGAATGGTTAATTAAATTGCACTATATATAAAATCATTATTTAAGACTACTTTATTATTTACTGTATCAATTTAGGCGATAGTACTCTAAGGTTTTTCACTAAATTCACAAAATAAATATACAATACCTAGCCGACCTAACAACAGTTCACTACAGACAGGGCAGACAGGCTAAAAAATAACCTCGATCAATACATTTTTTTTTTTAATTTTACGATTTTGGATGATATATGTAGTGTATTTTGAGTCTATCGTCAATATCGATAGTGGTATGAAAAGTTATGATACTTGTTTTTAATTGTAAACAAATGTAATTCTCAAATAGTCTTTATATGTGAATGAATCATTTTGAATGAATCATTTTAATTTATCTCCATAATATAATATAACACTTAAAATAGTTTAAAAAACAAAGACACATCACTTATGTCCTGTGTCCTTGTTTTTCACAGGTTATAAAAGACCAACGACATTCGTATATTTACAATATGTTATGTACAATATAGGTACACACGAAACAATGCTAAGACAATAATCTTATTTTATAATAGATGTATTATAGTTATGCTTTGCACTTGGAAGGTGCCGTTTCTAAAAGAACATGTATCCAGAGCTTTAAACACATTAAAAAAAACGGTACTGTAGGAGAATGTTTGTGGTTTTGGAAGAAAGTGAATTGCCAAAAAAAGTATAAGGTTGAGTTGATCTGTGGCGCTGACTAGGGCTGAGGGCAATTAATAATTTCGACTAGGGTTTGTGAATACCTATCTATCAGAAAAATTGAAAGCACTATCAGGAGTCTAGACGAATCAATACGAAAATTTCCACGTCGTGAGCGTAAGTACTTTACTCCTAATTTTAACAAAATTAATTTTACGTCGTATTTATTAGTTCCTGAATATTCTATTATCCATAATATGTATATATGAATCCTGTATTCCTATTTTCCTTCATTTTCAGCTAACAACGGGTACGCCTTGGTAATTTCTTAACTTAGGGTGTAGTCCTATCATTAATTTTTATAATATTTGAAATTTTTGCCTTGTAAATCATTTGTACTTTGTTTCATTCATTTCGTTGATATTGTATTATTTGTCAATTTTGTTGGAGATAGGTGGTCCAGCGGTTTAGTACAACGCCTTGCTTTGTGTTCGTGAGTGGGATTGTATTGATCGGCGTGTCCACGATGTATAGTACATATGTATCAACGAAGTAATATATATATTTCAGTACTTCTATCTATAGTCTAGACTCCATTACAGAAGCTTAGTTGACAAGGTGGTGCAGTCGGGAAATTAACTCGAATCCAATATCATTGGATTGCGCCATTTTACACCGTTTTCTACTTTTGAATTCAAGATTCGACAGCAGATATAACTGGCGTATGTAGCAGTCACATATTAATTCTATATTTCGTGATCAATGAAAGAACTTACTGTCATTTTTATTGATTTATTCACTTTGGACTTGATTATATTTTAAAAGTAAAGTGCAATGAAATCAATATTAGGGTTTCACTCTAGACCTGGGATTGTGTAAATTTTCCAGGGTTTTTATTGTTAACAGTTAATAGTGTTTTAATATCTAGCATAATTTTTACCCAAGTAATTTTGTTTCCATTGATCATAACTAGATAATTATTACCAGAATGACAATGATCACAAGCAAAAAATAAGTACTAAATAGATGTAGGGGGTGTGGTGAAACATATCAAGTATTAATCTAGGGTGTGTCCTATTTTGACTATTGAACAAAGTGAACACAGCTTTGTTCAGAACAAAGCCCTACAGCTCTATTTAGTATACAGTTGATTGGAAAACACCTTGCTTTCTCTAAATGCAGTTTTTATTTCACTTTGTTCGATGGTTGAAATTGGACACACCCTAAATTAGTACTTCATATGTTTAACACCCCTACATCTATTTGGTACTTATTATTTGCTTGTGATTTTACAGTTGATGTGTAGGTTTAATCAATATTATAACTAGGGTTGCCAGATAGAAACTTATCAAATCCGGGACAATTCTAGGACAATGGTGTCGGGTCGTGGCCATTGTAAAAAGTATCTTGCTTTTTTATTTTGCTTTTATATTTGTATTTGAAAAGGAAAATGGCATGACTTATATTTTGTTACAAAACTAGTAGATTTTCAGAATTCGGGACAATATGGTCTAATTATTTGACTCGGGACAAAACACAAATTTTCAGGACAATTTTGGATTTCCCGGCCATCTGGCAAGCCTAATTATAACAAGTAAATTCTGTATTATATTAATCAAGTAGTAGTAAATTATACTTGTACAGTATATTATATAAATTCAATTATGTATTCTTAGCATTCATATTTTTACACAATTTCTCAATTATTCTTAACTATATAACTGTATCTTGGTACTAAATGAAGTAGGCAGCAGAAATATTATACTGAGATGAGTCCCTGAGCACTTAATGTTTAAGACAATGAAAATGCTGATCATTTTGCAAAAATTTAGGGCCAAAACCGCCCAACAGCCTTTTGTAGCATACCTCATTGTCTAACTGGGATGCCACAAATTGTTTGGTTATTGATTTTACTTGCACTGAATTATTAGTAGAATATTCCAGGATTAGTACAATCAATGGCCCTAATAAGGGCTATTCGATGTGGTTGTAGTTTACTCATGTATATGTACAAAATATCTCCATTGGAAAGTTCACCCTCCATCCTGAGGAGATAAAAAGTCTTAGATACGATAACTACCCATTGGTAGTTTGATTATTATTTATAAGTTGATTTATGTGAGTGTATTTATGTAAATATGAAAAATATTATATATTTTTGCTTCCAATCGCAACCAATTTGTGTCTTAATGACGACTAAGGACAATAAATGTAATTTTGTGAAAATCATGTCAAATATTAGTAATAAAGTGCTTACGTCCCGTAAGCACTTTATTACTTATCTTTATTCAAAAACCGACAAATGGCCGACCATTAGGAACAATTACTGTGCGCTATCGATCCGCCGCCATGATGAACCGAACGTTGATAAAGCTCTCGTTCATTGATTTTATCTCAATGTGGAGAAGAGACTTATGGTTTAATTGTATCCTTATAAGTGCCAAATTGAATTGATTTGAAGTTTTTCACAAATTCTGCAAGTTTTCCACGAATTTTGTGAACCCGAAATTAATGAAATTTTACAGAGTGAAAAATTTCATAAACGACATTTACAAAGTGAATGATTTCAGGATTTTGTCAGTTTATTAGCTGAGAAGTGCAACTTTTCGGACTTACATCGTCAGTTCAGGTTAGGTCCAGTCTTATGTTAGGGGTGTGTGCGGTTGAAAAGGAAATTTTCGAGAACAAAGGATCTACTTAGAAAAGTGCTCTCCAGAAGTGTTCACAACTATCAAGCAATATGTTTGCATTTACACCCTAATACCATGGTGCAGAAGCATATTCCATTCCATGTTACGGAACCTATGGAAATTGGTAGGATAAAATAGAATGACTTGACATTTTGGAAGATTGCACAAAACCAGTGAAAAACGCCCTTTTATGAAAGCAAAGTGTTACTTCTGTTAGTGTTATGAACACATTGCATCTGATTGTGCGAAGACACTGGAAGATTACACAGAAGTGGTGAACCCTTTTGTTAACGCAAGGAGTTACTTCTGTAAGTGTTATGAACACATTGCATCTGATTGTGCGAAGACACTGGAAGATTACACAGAAGAGGTGAACCCTTTTGTTAAAGCAAGGAGTTACTTCTGTAAGTGTTATGAACACATTGCACCTGATTGTGCGAAGACACTGGAAGATTACACAGCAGGGTGAACCCTTTTGTTAACGCAAGGAGTTACTTCTGTAAGTGTTATGAACACATTGCATCTGATTGTGCAAAGACACTGGAAGATTACACAGAAGTGGTGAACCCTTTTGTTAAAGCAAGGAGTTACTTCTGTAAGTGTTATGAACACATTGCACCTGATTGTGCGAAGACACTGGAAGATTACCCAAAAGTGGTGAACAATGCCCTTTTGCTAAAGCGAAGTGTTACTTCTGTAAGTGTTACAGACATGTTGCATCTGATTGTAAGAGGACACTGGAAGATTACATAAAAGTGGTGAATGATGCATTTTTGCTGAATCATGGTTATGGCTGTATACATATATAGACATATTGTGTAGGCAGCGCGCATGCGAAGCTGCGCGCGCAACTTAAATTTGTCACTTGGTTGTCTCATATAAAACTACATCAGATAATCCTTTGCTTTGTAATTTTATTTAAATATACATAAATATAATCCAGATTAAGCCCATAAGGTGTTACTTCTGTAAGTATTACAGACACGTTGCATGTGATTGTGTGAAAACACTTTAAGATTACACAGAAGTGATGAACCCTTTTCCTAAAGCAAGGCGTCACTTCTGTAAGTGTTATGAACAAATTGTATCTGATTGTGCGAAAACACTGTAAGATTACACAGAAGTGGTGAACCCTTTTGTTAAAGCAGGGCGTTACTTCTGTAAGTGTTATGACCACATTGCATCTGATTGTGCGAAGACACTGTTAAATTATACAAAAGTGGTAAACAGGTGTTACTTCTGTAAGTGTTATGAACACATTGCATCTGATTGTAAGAGGATACTGGAAGATTACATAAAGGTGGTGAATGATGCACTTTTGCTGAATCATGGTTATGGCTGTATACATATATAAACATATTGTGTAGGCAGCGCGCATGCGAAGCTGCGCGCGCAACTTAAATTTGTCGCTTGGTTGTCTCATATAAAATTACATTTGACAATCCTTTGCTTTGTAATTTTATTTAAATATACATAAATATAATCCAGATTAAGCCCATAAGGTGTTACTTCTGTAAGCATTACAGACACGTTCCATCTGATTGTGCAAAGACACTCGAAGATTACACAGAAGTGGTGAACCCTTTTGCTAAAGCAAGGCGTTAATTCTGTAAGTGTTATGAACAAATTGTATCTGATTGTGCGAAAACACTGTAAGATTACACAGAAGTGGTGAACCCTTTTGTTAAAGCAAGGAGTTACTTCTGTAAGTGTTATGAACACATTGCACCTGATTGTGCGAAGACACTGGAAGATTACCCAAAAGTGGTGAACAATGCCCTTTTGCTAAAGTGAGGTGTTACTTCTATAAGTGTTACAGACACGTTGCATCTGATTGTAAGAGGACATTGGAAGATTACATAAAAGTGGTGAATGATGCATTTTTGCTGAATCATGGTTATGGCTGTATACATATATACATATTGTGTAGGCAGCGCGCATGCGAAGCTGCGCGCGCAACTTAAATATGTCACTTGGTTGTCTCATATAAAATTACATTAGATATGCCCTGTTCTTTGTAATTTTATTTAAATATACATAAATATAATCCAGATTAAGCCCATAAGGTGTTACTTCTGTAAGCATTACAGACACGTTCCATCTGATTGTGCAAAGACACTGGAAGATTACACAGAAGTGGTGAACCCTTTAGCTAAAGCAAGGCGTTAATTCTGTAAGTGTTATGAACAAATTGCATCTGATTGTGCGAAGACACTGGAAGATTATACAAAAGTGGTGAATGTTGCCGTTTTGTTAAAGCAAGGTGTTACTTCTGTAAGTGTTATGAACACATTGCATCTGATTGTGCGAAGACACTGGAAGATTACACAGCAGTGGTGAACCCTTTTGTTAAAGCAGGGCGTTACTTCTGTAAGTGCTATGGACACATTGCATCTGATTGTGCGAAGACACTGGAAGATTATACAAAAGTGGTGAATGTTGCCGTTTTGTTAAAGCAAGGTGTTACTTCTGTAAGTGTTATGAACA